ATTCTAAATGTTTAACATGATATTTACATAAGTGAAAGAAACTACGGCAATTGTGATAAACCTTGAAATTGTAATGACACCAGAACTAGATTATGCGTGAACTATTGAAAAGGAGAGTCTGGTACTAATATAACAATGGGAAATGGTATATTATTCTGAACAAAAGAGGTACGCTTTTTTCGGTCCCCGATTACGCCACTAGGTTTCATGATCTATTTAACCTAAAACAAGAATGATTTTATTCGAAGGTTGCTTTATCCTTCAAGAGCAATTACATGGGTGAAACTGATGAAGTGGGAATTTCCCAGCATTGCAAGCACTGCTGTGTAACATAACAATTTTGTTTTCATAGGCTTAAAATGTTTTTTATTTGCAGTGTTTTAAGACCTGTAAAATTGGTGTTTTTATTTCTTCATTTCACAAATATTATTACTTTGTTTCTTTTAACGTTCTGTTTTGAAGTTATACGGTGAATTTGTGGTAAATTTGTACTCGACGGATGCCACATGTGGAGCAGGATCTGCTTACCCTTCCGGAGCACCTGAGATCACCCTCAGTTTTTGGTGGGGTTCGTGTTGCTCAGTCTTTAGTTTTCTATGTTGTGTTTTGTGTACTATTGTTTGTCTGTTGGTCTTTTTCTTTTTTAGCCATGGCGTTGTCAGAATATTTTCGACGTATGAGTTTGAATGTCCCTTTGGTATCTTTCGCCTCTCTTGTAGAATCTCTTTCTCTAGTGATTTAATGTGAAACTGATAGTTTAAAAAACTGAATATATGGTCCGGGTCACAACTTATGGTGGATAAAATAAATTTCAAACTGCCCAGTATCTGTTTGCAAATCAGTAATTCGATACATTTTCTTAATGATAAATGTTGTTGCTTCAAAACATTGTAAATACTAGTTAATGAATACCTTTATAGTTCAAATAAAATTGAATGATGTGTCACTCTATAGTTCAATTGACACAAAATTATGTGTCATATTTTTATAGCGAACATAAGTCGAAAGGTTGTTTACACATGCTCTACTGTAATTATCTAAGGTACTTTTCTAGTAATAGCGACTCAAAATCAAATACAAGCTTACTGTCTAAGGTTATCTTCATTTTTGGTGTTGTTCACTTCGAACTGATCAGCAAAATCGAATGTTTCAACATGTCTAGTACGTTATTCTTTTACCTCGCCATTTTGATGAGTTACAAATGCCTAAATAGTTATTTAAGTCATCCATAAACCATATGCTCACATGATCGATTAAAAAATGCAAATCGTAAGTAATATGACATCAACTATATAAACTTCGGCTCTTTTGGTCGTATTTTGAAACTATATATATTATCATACAAACAATTCCCAATAATCACATCTCTAGCCAATACTAACACTATAGTAAATTTAAATCTATTTGTTGATGTGTATTCAAGTATACAAAACATAAACTAGGCGTTTGCTTTTTAACAATGTAAATTCAAACTAACTTGTCTTTCTAAATCAAATTTATATATATGAGGGTCTGGATGTTGTTTACAGAATAGAGAATAATTGCAAAAAAAATAACGAATAGAGAAAAATAAGCCAAAAAATATAAGGAAAAGTATTTATAAAGAATAATTGTGAAAAAAACGAAAATATAAGAATTAAGTAATACAACACTGATTACAGAAATGAACGATGTACAGGATAAAGAAATCATCATTTTAATAGTGAAATTATTTTCATGAGAATTTTTTAAAATAATTTATTTTTTTTAAATAAAGAAAAATGCCATACAAATATCCTACAAATTTAAAAAATACAGAACTTAAGAATCACAATCCAGACATTTATATATCTATCCATATTTATAAGAGAGAAAATATCTTTATACATGCTGCCACAGTTACCACATCTACTTATTTTAATATGTATAGCCACTACCTAGAAATACCATAATATGCCTGTGCATAAATGAAGATTTTGCATTTGTGGGCTACATCTTAGGCGTGAAAAGGTTCATAATAGTGAAAACCCATTACAGCCATTGACTCAGCTATCCATCGGATATATCATATCATAGATTTGATACAGTGAAGATGTAACTAACATTGGATACCTGAACCTAAATAAAAGAATTTTTCAATAAATATGAAAAGACGATAAATTTAAAGGAAAAGGATAAACATTAATATCAAACACAAATTTAGTGAATTTCTCGTTTTGTTCCAAAAATACTTTAACGTTGACGTTTTATTATGTATTTCCATATACTTAGTAATTCAAAAAGGCACATATGATGGTTTTTGTTGTTCATGGTCTGAAACTATATATGTTCGGTTTTCCAAAAGTTTGATCAAGAGCAAAACTGATGAAAGATATACACATGGATTGCGTCCCGCAAAAACTGTTTGTCATTGTTTTTTTTTAGAAGAGTCCAAGTGTCCCGATGTTATACCATCAAAACGCACAAAAAAAAGTCATTTATTAAAGCCTTGATGTAGCTAACGAGGGCATTAATTGTTACCCTTGACCGTCCTTCCGTCCATCCCATTTTCGTTTCCACACTCTCACTTAAGTTTGTCTCATGGAAATTTTAAGACACTCATAGTCATACACAATGCTAAGAACCGAAACTCGCAGACAGAGTTCGAATTTGGGAAGTGAGTCACTTGCCATTCTAGAGTTGTTTCCCTTTATAACTTGAAAAATTGCAATTTTTTTCGTTTCCGCACTCTAACTTAAGTTTTTCTCATCCAAATTTTATGAAACTCATACACAATGGTGAGCACCAAAACTCGCTAACAGCAGTCGAAATTGGGCAGTGAGTCACTAACCGTTCTAGAGTTATGCCCCTGTTTAACTTGGAAAATTGTGAATTGTTTTAGTTTCCACACTCTAACTTAAATTTGTCTCATCCAAATTTTATGAAACTCATACACAATTAATGCTAATAAACACAACAGGTAGACAGAGTTCAGATTTGGGTTGTGTGTCATTTATCATTCTTGAGTTATTCCCCCTTTTAACTTGGAAAATTGCAAACCTTGAACAGGGGCATTCCTGTCCTCATACACATTGTTCTTTTATTTTGTTATGTTTTGTATCAGATCAGCACGAAATGTGGGACTATATTAGCTTTCAGCTTCTCCGCCATTATTTATAAAGCATGAACATATCAGGAACAACCTTTCAGGGTGAGAGGAAATTAGTGTATGCCAACAACTTCGGTGAATTATGAATACTTATGATTAGGATAACCTTATCAAATAATGTCTTTCATAAATATGTGAAAAGCCGAACATTGTGTTGTATTGAAATGAATAGAGCCTTAACAGAATAGACACCAATTAGCGTAAACTTTCTTTGAGGTTTGTGAAAACTATAGTAAAGAACAAGCCTAGGTATACAATTACTGTGTGTATCGTGAAGAATTTAAACTTTCACAATACCATAAATGTTTTACCAAAATTGCAGTGAGATAATCTCTAAAAACTTATCATCTGGTAAAACATTTAGCTCATAGCAAGTGAATATTCACTTTGAATATTATATGTTTTAATTCAAATTGATGTCTGTTCATAGAAATAAACAAGACATTTTAAAAGGAACAGTGTGAAAACTTTAGACTTGATAAATTACATAGCTAGTCAAAATGACTACTGTTCCTCCATATGGCTTTACAAATACATCTATATAATTTCAATGACAGATCTGGAATTCAAGTATGATATGATTGTAGTATAATTTTTTATTACACTGCACTTGCTTAATACTTAAAATCTTTCACTAGCTATGAGCTAAACTGTTTACCAGTTGATCAGTTTTCAGAGATGAATTCAAACTGCAATTTGGTAAAATATTCGTGCAATCTATATTGTGAAAAGAAAGCCTTTAGGATAAGCACAGTAATACGGGGGCACTTTATTTGTATAACTTTGAGAAACCGTCTTTTTTGAAAATTCGGAAAAAAAAACAACAGTAAACTTGCAGTGTTGCAGAGTTGTTGGTTATAGTACTACAATTGTAGTAGTAAAGACATATATTTCCAGATATGTGATGCTCTTGGTGATAGTTTTGGAAACCAATAAAAATAAAAGAACAGACTTCCAATGTCCAAGGGCAATAACTTAAAAAATTGTGTTTTCCCTTTATATTTTCATTAATATCTTAGAGAGATGAAGGCTTCAGATTTAGAGCAAACGCAATTTAATTTCCCATATTATTAATATTTCCAAGGGGCATTACTCTTTTAAAAATATTTGATCAGCACTGTTTATCAAATTGTCCAAGACATTGCTGGTAAGAACATTTGATATAATATTTATTAAAATTTCGCAAAAATTGTACATGTGAGAGCACTTACAAATGAAATTTTCCATATAATTCATATTTCAAAGGGGCAAAACTATTTTAAAAATTGTTGACCAGTACTTATTTTGAACTATGAGACATTTCTAATATAAACCTATGATTTAAATATTATAAAATTCTGGCAAGAAATAAAATTGAGAATGGAGACAAAGAGACAACAACCCGACCAAAGATCAGAAAACAACGTTTATCTAAAAATGTGAGTATAACCTTAATAGGAGTTAAAAAGATTCTTTTTAATAAATAACTGATAACATACCTGCCAACTTTTTAAAATCTCCATGGGGAATTTAAGCGCAAGATATACTAGAGGAAATCATACTCCTCTTTTATTGTCATAAGTGTTTTAAATCTACTACTTTATTGTTTGAATGAGTATGTATGTGCTAAAATACCCTTTCAACTCATTTGAATGCCTGTTTTGAGGTGTTCAGTTTATAAAATAAAAAATTTCAAAAATCAGGTCAACACCTCTCATCTCATGGGGGATTTTCCCCATAAATCAGGATAGTTGGCAGGTCTGTGATAAACAATCATTCAGTAAACATTTGAATGTGTTCCCTACAAGCTAAATATTGTTTCTCCATGTCAAAATTTGATTTATTGAAAAAAAGAAGAAAAACATTTTCTCAGATATAGGTATAACAAAAAAAGAACATTCTACAATTTTATTCTTCTTTTAGTATTAAAAGCACTGTGGGTAGTTTTATTTCAATTGCACCAAAATGATCGAATCCTCTTTCAATAAATGATTTCAAGACACTCTGATACCATTATCTACCAGTAGTAGTTTTTTGAATGTGAAAATCTTGAAGATAGAATATCAGATTCACAGAAAAAAGACATAAACTGCATTTAAATATTTTTGGTATATATGGTTTATGAATATTCAAGAGACAGAAGTATATACTTTGTACAATATAGCTTAATACCCAGTGTAAAGAATACAAATGCCCATCGACTTAGTTACATTCATTACCCACAATGCTTTCAATTTTTTAAATGATGGATACACAATATGCAAGTTTACTAAACATCAATTAGTAATGAGTAAATATGTTCAGTATTATTCTTTCTTCCAGAATTCACATCTTTTCTCTTAAAACTCTCTGTTGCCTAAATTGATCAACATCTGGTCTCATACAACCCACTTCTGCCGATATATCTAACCCACTTAATAACATCATGGTCACTATAGTTCAGTTTAGGTTCGAACACTTTTAGATAGCGAACTTTGAAGCCTGAAGGAGCAAATGGTACCTGCAATTAAAAAAGATTATTTTACAGAATTCAGAAATTCAAAATCTTATGTATTCTGAAAAATGTATTCAAATGCTTGCACAAAAACCTTGAATTTGATTTAAAATGTCCTACACAATGGATATCAAACCACTGGTGTTAAGTTATTTTGGAGTAAGTCAAATGAAATTACCCATGATCCTTTTCATTTTGAAGTCATGAATTGCATCCAAACTAGCTGACAAGTTCTAAATTGTTCAAAATTGAAAATAGTTATGCAAGAACTCTAAACAGTCAACTGAGGAATATGACAACTAGAACTGTGATAAAAACTCATTAAAGGACTCCCCTGCCCTACTATACTATTTGTATATTGAATTTCTGTAAATTCAGAAATTATTGCGTGCATTTATAATTGCTATTTTTGAAGAATGGGTAAAAATGTGAGATTTATTGTTGCATTTCTAGGAAAATCTGCATACAGATCTATGTATCAGATATCAGAATGCTAGTTCTTGTTATTGCAATACTTATCCAGTTGCATTATTCGCATTACTAATAAACAGCTGTGCCATGAGCGCATGATATGCCCATCGTCTTGTGTGTGAATTTTTATGCAATAAGCATAAATAGTTTCTGACATACGGTGTGACATGCGAAAACCCCCCTTTTTTTTTTACAAAAAACTCAATATCTCTAAAATAAAATTTTGAATCAAAACTAAAAAGTATACAGATCTTTCCATTAATATAACTAAGAAGTGTGTAAAATTTTAAGCAATAATCATAAATCGTTTTTGAGATACGGCGCGACATGTGAAAACCCCCCCTTTTAAAAAAAAAAAAAATCAATATCTCAAAAATAAAATTTTGAATCAAAACCAAAAAGTATACAGATCTTCAGATTAATATAACTAAGAAGTGTGTAAAATTTAAGCAATAATCATAAATAGTTTTTGAGATACGGCGCGACATGTGAAAAACCCCTCCCCCTTTTTTTTACAAAATACTCAATAACTCAAAAATTAAATTTTGAATCATCACCAAAAAGTATACAGATCTTAAGGTTAATATAACTAAGAAGTGTGTAAAGTTTTAAGCAAAAATCATAAACTGTTTTTGAGATACGACGCGACATGTGAAAAAAAACACACACCTGCTTTAGTTACTAAGTCCTGTAACTCAAAAAGTTTTAATCTTATTATCACCAAAAAGTATACAGATCGTTTGACCATCATAAGAAACAACTATGTTAAGTTTCATGAAATTTGGATAAGTCATTCTCAAGTTACGGTGCGACATGTTTACGCCGGACAGACAGCCGTACAGACAGACGGACGGACACCGGACATTTGTATACCATTTTTGAAATTTATAAAAACCTCGCAATAATTTCTGAATTTATAATAAAGTAATTTGGATTATCTCCCTTTCTTCAGGTTGGACCCAGATTACATTATGTTACTTTATACACATCCTGAAATAGTGTTCTACAACAGCGTAAAGTTTCATGAACATCCATTCAGTTTTTCAGAAGAAGTTGTGCTTAGAAGGCACATGAACAATCAGATTGACAGACAGGGTGATTCCTATATATCCCCCAAACTTTGTTCGGTACTGTCGATTTATTATTATTCGTTGGATACCAATTTTTGTGGATTTCATGGGTACAGGTGAACCACAAATATAAATGTTCAACGCATTACAAATTTTCCATAAGGTTGTTTGCCAAAAGTACGAAATTAAATGTCTATGAAAATACAAGTTTTCATCAATCCACTAAAATTGGTATCCACCAAAATAAATGAATCCACAGTAAAACAAATACAATTTTTACCTCAAAGTTCATAGAGATTGGGGGCCTGGTCCACTTTTTCTTTTCACTGGTATTTAATAGTTCAATCTCTGCACTCAGCTGGCATTCTTTCATACCTCCCATTCTCTTTATTCTACAGAAAGAGCAAACATTTTATAAATAGCATGCCACTGTGAAAAAAATGGAGAGAGTTAAGATCTCAAAACATGAGTGTAAAACTTCACATGTTTATGCATTTACCTGTTATTTCTTGAAGAGTGTATGTGTACCTCTATAAGTATAAAATTAGAAGATGTGTTATTTAATACAGCTAAGACATGAAAAATAAATTTAATAGTAGCTCTTAAAGGGGCATTGGCTGTCAAATTTATGTTCACAGATTTAACTCAAATTCTCATATTTGATTTATAACATACTTAAATGTATATCAAAATTATTAATAAGTCTAAAATGGTTTATGGTGCATGGACTTGACAATATGTATCAGCATTTCGTGTGTATTTAAGTCTAGATGCCTTCTACTTTACCTTCGACGTCACCTCTCAAGACAGCCGAGAGTTATATAACCCAATATAAACATAAATATCGATATAAATACATAGCCAACACTTGCAGTTGGATTTTTCTAGGTCTGTATTGAATTCATATTAAAGGTTTAAAAAATATTTTAATCCTCGTTTTTATCTAGTTAAGAATGAATTATTTTGGATCGAACCAGTCAATAAATGGTTAACCCTTGTTTCACTTTCAATGTTGACATTCCTTTAAATAGCTGAAAATGCTTAGTTTATGTGTAACCCTTCTATATAAAGGGTTAAATTGTAGGTCACATGAATACGGATTCAATGAGGTTGGATTTTTCACTTGCAAGTGAATAATTCATTAAGTGATTTTCTTTGCTTAAATTGACAAAATTGAGCCAAACTGGCTTCTAAAACAGAATTTTTATTCCACTATTTCACTTTCCATAATAATTTTTAAAAATTTTATATCTCGTAGCTAATGCTAATTCAATTTCTTAATATTTAACAAAAAAAATTACAAAACATAGATGTACTTACTTCCACACAATTGCATTTTCACTAGCTTTGTATTTGGCTTTTCCTTTCATACAAATCACCTGTACACCGCTAGTGTTCAATGGGGTTGGAATGCGTACCTGAAATTGTGATTTACATGAGAGTTGATATTCTATGCTGAAGAAAAAAATAAATAACAAAGTACAATTTAGGTAGTTTTCACTATAGAAAAATGATATCAGGTTTATATTCTTGTGGAGGGTTGTGTTAAAAAGTTTGTAATGTTCAACATTGTTTGAACATTATTATCATTATGAGTCTTTGACAATTGCCAAAGGAAGATGTTAGACTATAAGGAGTCTTTAATTTTGTGGTGACTTGTCATTTTTTTTAAATTTTGATTAAACAAGAATGTGTCCATAGTACATGGATGCCCCACTCACACTATCATTTTCTATGTTCAGTGGACCGTGAAATAGGGGTCAAAACTCTAATTTGGCATTTAAATTAGAAAGATTATATCATAGGAAACATGTGTTCTTAGTTTCAAGTTGATTGAACTTCAACTTCATCAAAAACTACCTTGACCAAAATCTTTAACCTGAAGCAGGACAGACAGACGAATGGACAGACATACGAACAGACACACAGACCGAAAAACATAATGCCATTAGGTGGGGCATAAAAATTATTTCTCAGAGAGAATATAGAGATTATTAAAGGGTAAAAAAAAGCCAAGACTACATCTTTTTTTTTTTATTTGTTATTTTCGTCATCTTAGCTCAAATCCTTCCTATTCCAAATGTTACTACCATTATCATATATTCTGCTGAAAAAGGAAACACAGGGATATTGGGTATATGTTAATTATGATTCAGCTATATCAAAAATATATAAAGCTTAACAAGGCTCAACATTTTTAAGTTCACACATTTCAGTTTGTTTTTATATACAAAATGGCTACTGCAGTCTCAAGTTACTGATTCTAAGTATACTTTTTGAAAGTTTATCAGAATATATACTTATATATCTGAAACAAAAAAAAAAGTCCAAGTTTTGCTGAATATGAGGTCATGCTTTCAACATACTTACTTCTACTTTCTGTGCTAGTAGTGATGGTTTGAAATTAGACTTAACAACAACTTTGACCTCCATCTTGGATCGTCCAACTTCTCTTACCAATGGAATTACTCGGAATGGTAGACTGATGTCCTTTGTTGTACGATATCTTTAAAAATAAGAAGATCAAGTTCATGTTTTTGCATGCTGGAAGTTAAATATGTTATATGACAGAATCAACTTCAGAATTTCAAAGATGGTAAATTCACAGTGTATTATTTTTCTGTTTCAAGGAATGCAAAAATATCAGTACTTCTGATTTTGATCTGATAACAAAAAATGACTTTCAATTTTAGGTAGAAAAAAGGAATTATGATGAAAAAATTACAGAAAAAAATATAATTAGCAGTAAAATGTATTGAGCACATAACAATTCATTGAAAATAATAAAACAGAATTTCAGTTTTTTGACATGTGAAAAAGACGGAGAGAGAACACATGTGATTATAATTTATAAAGAAAAAAACAATGTATCAATTTATGACACACAAAATCTTTTTCACACCTAAAAAGTCACAATGAACCCTTCAACACATAAAAAAATTCTCAACTCACTGCAAGTTAAAGACAGTCCCAAGCCAGGATCCTGTGATTCAGTGGTTGTCGTTTGTTGCTGTATATGATGTTTGTTTTTCATGGTTTTAAGTGTGGATTGGGCCATTTGCATTTGTTATTTTGGGGCCTTTTCTGGCTGACTGTGCAGTATGGGTTTGCCCATTGTAGAAGGCGGTATAGTGACATTTAGTTGGTAAGTCTATGTCATTTGGTCTCTAGTGGAGAGTTGTCATCTTGGCAATCATAGTACATATTCTTATTTTTATAATATATACATAACACAGAATTAGCAAAATTCTTTGATAGGGCTGATCATTTTATGTAAACTCTTGTAAAATAAATAGCCTTATAAGGACATTTCAAGCTGGCATAACAATTGGGGCTATGAAGTGACATTAAATTTTGATATATTAGTAGAAGAATGTCTGCCAACTTTTCTGCAATAGGAATTAATTTTTTTTTCTAATGATTGTTGCGCAAGAAAAACAAATGTCCCCACTTAAAGATAAACATAATGCTCCTCCTGTTGTACAGGGCTTCATGCAAAGGACATCTAAAGGTTATCAAGTTTACTCACCTCATGAGTTCAAATTCTCCATCTGGTGGAATGAAGCTAATGCTGTGTTCTGTCTCAAATTTACTAAGTTTGACACACTGGTGGAACTGACAGTCGTCAATAGCTATAGAACTCTTACCACTTGGGTTAGAGCTAAATCAAGAAACAAATAATAAATTAGCTGTCGCATGGAAAACTTCATCGTTGTACACAAAAACGGAAAAAAAAATGACATTTTATAAATAAATAAAAAGTAGGTTATGCCAATTGCAATACACATAATTAACAGTGTGTGGTGATGATTCATATCCTGACAGGTTTAGGTCCTTCATGAACCTTCTTCATGAAAATATCTCTACTTAATTCGTCGAATATCTTTTTTTTTTACAATGGTTTATATCAGTTTTACCCAATCACAATATGCTTTTGAAAATATTACACTAAATGAATTAAACTCTGAAATGGCAAATGAAGGGAACAGTACCAAATTAAGAAAGTTTGGGTAATACAAAAGGAAACCTAGAATCTTTGATCACGTTGATATAACTAATTTGTGTAAGCTGAAAAGACTGCATATAGTAATCATGGTAATTAGAAATTCAGTATACAGAATTGTATATTCTAAATATGTATAGCTACCCAGTTGATTACAATATATATGCATTATGCACTTAAGATATTTGTTGAAAAAGTAACATTAAGAAAGACACATAAATATTTAAGAGTAGTGGATTGAACTTGGGCTCTGTCAGTAGGTAGGATATAGACTTTTATCTTTTTTATTTTGCCAAAGTAAGAAAAAAGTGACACAAAAAACTGTATTTTCTAATAAAAATAACATTAAGAAAGGCATGGTGACCTACAGTTGTTAATTTTTGGGTCATTTGGTCTCTTGTGGAGAGATGTCTCATTGGAAATTATACCACATTTTCTTATTTTTATAATTATACATAAATATTTTGGAGTAGTGCCCACTGTGGATTGAACTTGGACTCTGTTAGGAGGTAGGCATAGACTTTTATTTTTTATTTTGCCTAAGTTAGAGAAAAGTTCAGGCTAACTGAGTGAATCAACAGGGAAAAGATGTGTATCAATTTTACAAAGTTTAAAAAAAAACACAATATTTTTGGTTAATAAATTGCAGATTTTTTTCTTAGTCAACTTTTCACTTACTTTGTTGTTCTGCCAGTATCATCTATACTCTTTCCTTTACTCTCCACCAGAACTTTGTCATTGATACCAAACTTACACTCGGGCATACCACTCAAGTAGCTCTTCATAACAATCTTACCAGCCACATGGGCACTCAATACCTGACCTGAAATAAAGAAAAAAACATTAAAATGACCAAACATATTTAAGCTTGATTCCTGACCTTGAATAAAAAAATATATGTCATGATGGCATACCCAACATCTGATTCTCTGACAGGAATAATATGTCACAATAACATAACATACTTTGGCTGGAACCCCAGCATATTCTTTATGTGCCTGTCCCAAGTCAGGAGCCTGTAATTCAGTGGTTGTCTTTTGTTGCTGTATATCATGTTTTTTCGTTTATAATAAAGTACAGAAATCAGGCCGTTGGTTTGAATTGTTTCATGTTGGTCATTTCATGGCCTTTGATAGATTGGTATGCGGTATGGGTTTTGCTCATTGTCGAAGGCCATATGATGACCCATAGGTGCTAACTTCTACATCATTTTGTCTGTTGGTAGCTATAGAAGGTTGTCTCATTGGTAATCATACCACATTTTCTTATTTTTAAAATAAGTCTTAAATAAACAAAGGGATTATTGTAAATGTATGAAGCTATTTACATGGTTGGTAAAATTACATTGTTGACATTAGGGTAATTGAAAGGGAAACAAGAGCATATTTTTTCGATTTGAGGGAAGAGAGGCTAGCAAGGACACTGGTCAAGTACATACCTTGTGGTGACATCAGCAGATTGACAGACTCCAGGACATCTAGAAACAATTCATTCCTACGATATTTGATTCCCTCACGTCTCCAGCCAATCTGTCCAGTAACTTGTGACGTAATCTGACTGGTTTCTTCCTTAGACTGAGATTTTACACCCTGTTGAGTGATAAATGTCTTGAGTATTCCTACATCTGTGTTTTGTGGATATCCAAAGTCAAGGATCTCTGAAAAATAAATATACAATATACTTATTCAATGCAATTCAATATCTTACTGGAAACATATTTTATTTGAAAGAGTACAATAGAGGCATGGTCCAAAAACAGGTATATTTAACAATTGCATCCAAGGTTGGCAAAAAAGCGGTCAATACTAGTATTGACCATGCCGGCGGTAAATACCGGTAAATACCGGGAAATACTGGCAAATACTGGTCAATACTGGCAAATACTGGTCAATTGAAATTTTGATAGGACTTTACTATAAAACTAGTCCCTATCTCAGGTCAATTACTTGGTAAATGGATAGATATAGTCACAAGGCAGAAAGTCACTTATTTACTACATTGTAATAGGACAAAAAGTCACAATTAATTAGTTCATGAACATGGTTTAATGAAGATTTATCAAATATTAATTTAATCATACAACAGATATAGTCATCAACACCATGAAGTCAGTCACTTAAGAGAGACTATATAACATCTGGTTTTCTTAACAGTTATTTTCAAAGATGCAATTAAACAATTTTAAAAAATTGTTTCATATATATATATGTTATATATTTATTAAACAAAAACATTTCCTGCATTTAGAACAAATTTATCATGCTGTTGAATAGCCAGGAATTAATTCATTGTTTAAAACAATCTTTAGAAATCACTTTTATGACTTTTTTCCTGTTATGTCAACATTTATTAGGGGACAGTTGTTATAGTAATTAAACTTTTGACACCTGTTAGCCATATAATAGGTAATGCTCTGATAATCTATATTGCTAGTCACTTGTAATTCTATTTACCTGTAAAATTCAAACCTTTTCAAGAAAAAAATATCTTGATTTATACATGTTAAAATAACTGATATAGCTGCTCAATTTTATATGTATACCAAAAGTATGCAATATAATTACCCCTAAGAACTAAATTAGTCATTTTTAATGTTTTAATAATTAATAACATACCAATATCATTCATTTTTATAAACTGAATCATGCCAAAGGAATAAAGTTTTCCCTCATCAACCATTTTTTACTAGAATTGATAGATAAGCCAGTCAAAAGAAGCATGAAAATTTCAATTGACCAGTATTTGCCAGTATTGACCACTTGGGGAGTATTGTCCGGGGCGGTAAATACCGGTAAATACCACTGGTAAATACCGTGGGTGGTAAATACCGCCCAACCTTGATTGCATCTAATACAAGTAAATTACTTAAAGTTTTATAAGTTTACAAATGGTATAAAATAATAGATGATTTCTTATTATGGCTTATATATTTACAGTACTTTAATAATATATCTATTCACTATTTTTTATTAATATAAATTGGATCACATAGGTTAATGTATAAGTAATAAAATTGAGAATGGACACGTGGAAGGTATCAAAGAGACAACAACCTGAACAAAGAGCAGAAAACAGCTGCAAGCTGCCAATGGGTCTTCAACACAGCAAGAAAAAGTGTATATAAATAACTGGTATTAGGTATTATGTTAAAATGCTTAAATCAAGAACTTCTTTTATATACATAATTTCTTTTTTTAAATTTGGGTTTATAATTTTGATAAAAAAAAATTCATTCAAATTATATGTATCTAATTTTTTAATGTTGTACTTAGATCTAATTTTGGGGACATTTGATAAAAAAATGTATCTCATTTCCATCATACTCTTTGTAAAGTTTACAAAATCTCTCATTACAGGGGGGCCTCGGTGGCTGAGTGGTCTTAGTAGTTACTACTGTAATCACTAGCCAGTCAACACTGAGGTTGTGAGTTCGAACCTCGCTCGTGCAGGTGCACTCGCCTTCAATCTTAATTGACTAAGATTGTCAGTTTTCCTATCTAAGGTCTGTGGTTTTCTCCAGGCAGTCCGGCTTCCTCCACCAATAAAACTGGCCACCACGAAATAGCCCAAAAGCGGTGTTAAAAGTGGCTTTAAACACCAAAAATCAAATCAAATCTCATTACAGGGTGTAATTGGTTTAAATTCTTTAAGGATGTACTTAGATGAAATTAAAAAAATCTAGAATTTTAATATAAATTGATATGATTAGTCAGAAGAGCATTAGTTAAGGAACAAACTTAGCTAAAAATATTGATAGGTTATGGAGTTGCTTTTTGAGATATTTAATTTTTTTCAAATGACGGGAAAAAGACTGACTCGGACATTAACCTTATATTTGCATTGGTATTATTTGGGTCTCAAATAGAGAGAAAAGAAATCTACAATCTGCTTAAATTTTGGTAAATGACCTTTTATGAGCTATTGAAGTCTTATAGGAAAAGAATAAATTGTTATCACAGAGATATGTCACGCCTTTTTGTAATTTTGATAATGCAAATGTTGAAATTAAAATAGCAATACTTTAACATGTAATTTATGCAAATATTCAAAGTCCATGAACCATCCATGAACCATGACTGAAGGTACATGGCTAAACAATCTCCATGGAATGAGATGTGCCAATGCTAATACAACTGCATACCAAATACCATTGACTTATTATAAGTCGTTCCCTTTAAACAAACCTAAACACAAACATTAACTTGTAAACTATGTAAAATTTTCAAAGGCAATGAACCATGATCAGCGGTGGGGCGATATAATCTCCATGGAAACGATACTTGCAAATGCCAATACATTTGCAAACCAAATATCATTGACTTAACATTAGCAGTTCATCTTAAACTAATCTAATCACAAACTAATACATGTAAACTAAGCAAAAGTTTCAAAGTCAATAGACCATGACTGAGGGGATGGGGCCAAATATTCTCCATGGAAATGAGATGTGCTAATGCTTATACAACTGAACACCAATTAACATTGGCCTACCACTAATGGTTCCCCTTGAACTGACCTAATCACAAACTAATACATGTTAACTTAGCAAAATTTTCAAAGTCTATAGACCATGACTAAGAGGGCGGAGCCAATTGATCTCCATGGATATGAGATATGCCAATGCTAATACAACTGCATACCAAATATCATTGACCTACCACTAGTGGTTCCCCATAAATTGACCTAATCACAAACTAATACATGTAAACTATTAAAAGTTTCAAAGTCAATAGACCTTGACTGAGGGGGCGGGCCAAATAATCTCCATGGTAATGAGATGTGCCAATGCTAATACAACTGCATACCAAATATCATTGACCTACCACTAGTGGTTCACCATGAACTAGACCTAATCACAAACTAATACAATGTTGACGCCGCCGCCGGAAACAGCATACCTATGTCTCGCTTTTTGACTCCGTCAAGGCGAGACAAAAATGGGTGTTATGGGGTAAAATATTTTACCCTGTATTGTAGGGGGAAAAAACAAGGAGTCCGGATATCTATCATAAATCCCTAAACCTGACCTAAGTACATCCTTAAATGAGGTTACTGGGTGTGATTGAGAAATCCTTTTATTTGTTAATTTCTGGTTAAACTCACCGTCCAAAATTTCATAAATGAGAACAAAGTTATTTTTAATATTTTCTTCTGTTATTTTGCCAAAATATGACTGCATGACTTCCACCATTTTCAGAAGAAACTCAAAAACCATAGAAGCATTGACATTTTGTTTGGTTACTGCCGCTAACCAAATATTGGACCTCTTGATGTGGAAAAAACTGGTTCTGGCAATGTTGGTAACAGGTGAACGGACTTGTTGTCTGGCATGGATGACATTGACCCTAAAAGCATCAACTGCATTACGTCTGAAATATAAGGCAGCAATATTTTAAAGTAAATGATTACAGAAAATAAAAAAACTCTATCACTTATTAATGTATTGTCCACAAAGTTTATATATATAAAAATAAATCTGTGAGTTGGAAAGTCGTGGATCTGCTACTGCGAACAAAGACAAGTACCATTTTTCGTGGATTAATGAAAGATTGTAATTTTGTGGATACTTGATTTCCTGGTTTGGCCACAAAACTACAGGGACTTAGTACTTTGTTGAACATATAAATTTGTGGTTCACTTTTCTCTACGAAATTAATGAAAATAGGTACTGCACAAAGCACTGTATGTGTCAAGTTAAAACTTTGTAATAAACTCATAAACTCAACTCATTTTGACTTGATTCAGCTTGTCAAACTCAAAGCACCAATTAACTCCTTCAAAATAACATTTATCATAATTATGAACTTTAATTTGATAAGTTTACCCAATATCATCTCTGTACACTCTGGAGATAAGGACCTCTCCTTTGTGGTTGTAAATAAACAGTCCACCAATCATTTCTCTATTTTTTGTTACCTGAAAAGAAAAGTACATCATGTAGACAGTAGAGTAAAACAATGATTTAACACATGTATGTTATGGTTAAGTGTATATCTTGTCCAGTAAAAAACAAACTTTTACAGGTTCAAACATATATAACCCATAAAAGATAAACAGATTACTTCCAATAATATGACAACCAATTAAGAAGAGTGAGGGAAAAAGTGTTATGATCAGGCAAATTCAAGAGCTGGCAAGGCCTGAAACCCCAAGTATACTTAATTCTTTGAGTAAATGTGTACCATATGAGGAAACATGCAGTTCCAAGAGATAAGTTGTGTCAAATAAGACGATAGGATCTGACTGGTAGATTAAGAGATACCTCATAAATTGAATCAAATTCATTACTCATTTGTTGATGCCTGTTTTAGTTCTTACAATTCTGAGCTTTCAATTTGTAGTTTTGAGCTTGCAGGAAAACCATTTGTCTCATTGCAAAGGAGCTACAGCAAGATTAATTATGTTCTTTAATCATGTTAATAGCAACACAAAGATCTAGAAAGATTTATATGTACATATGGCATGTATGGCCTTTCGTAGTAATTAGCAGCTTAAGTCAAAACACAATCATTCACAGTTGTTCATCTATGCACTCATAGGGTTTAATTTTCATTATTTACATTTTTATTCTGGACCAAATACATAAAAAGCTTCATGGTTCAGATTCTTGACCAAATAACATCGTTTAATCAAATTGGGATAAAGAACCTGGTGTGAACAGTCAACAGGGCCAACATATCAAGGGAAAGGGAGCATTTGGTCAAAAGACTTGGAGAGCAATTAGGAACCGTCAACCGTGCGAAATAACCCATACCATAAATTATATTAATTTCAAAACAGAGCTATTGAATAGAACCAGTATAAAAAGACACAGATGTAAGATTTGCAGTTTTAATTTTGACATATATCAGTGATCCAGCAGACCAAAACTGTGTAAATTTGTTTGATTGTGAGTTATATCAAAATATGAATAAATAAACCCCAGAAAAATGACGCGATGATACGCCCACTTGATGCTTTGTACTGCTTCTAGATATCCCATCACAGATATTTCAATCAAAGAAGTGAATGTAATGAGAGAGATAAGTAATTGTTCATTAACTGTATGGGAAAACATATATGAATCTTATTTACCGGCACAAATTATAAATAATCATTTCTAATGAGCAAGAAAGGAAATCGAAGTGTGGAAAGATCACTTCCGGTTTCAGAAAAGTCAATAATATTAGGACCAAATCAGGAGTAACTTTAATTTCCGTATTTGCAGTATGAAATTTTATCGTCCATATTTTTTAAATATATGATATCTCATTATCATTGTCTATAAAAAAAATTCATACAATGCAAAAAGATTCAGATGTGACATTATACTATATAAATAAAATTTAGTATGAGGGTAGCTTTTTAAAACATAATAAATATAAAAAATGCTATCCTCGGCTAAGCCTAGGACTATTATACTATTAGTATAATAGTCCCAGGCTGAGCATATTAGAGGGTAGGAATGCCCTTTACCGTCAAGCGTCAAATTGGTTAAAACTTAACCGTGATTCGTCAAAATATCCTTATCGTGTTTCGTCAGAGGTCTCAAATAATTATCGTTACCGTTATTTTTGGAAAAAAATTAGCGTGATGCTTCAAAATCAGTCAATTTTTTTATCGTCTAAAAGAAAGTGTACATTTTATCGTCATGCACCAAAAATTACCGTTAGCGTCATTTGGCAAGAATTTTTACCGTTATTCGTCATGAAGGTACCCCCATTACGAGCCTCATATAATCATATATACCGCAGTTACTTATTTAATTTAATCTGTAATTTTCGACCTAGAGTTAAATGATTTTTTTCTGTAAATTATGCATCAAAGAAGAATAACATGCATTTTGATTTTTTTTTTTTTTTTTTTTTTTTTTTTTTTTGTTAAAAGAGAAAATGAAAAAAAAAATAGATTCTGTTTGAATAAAAGAATGCAACTGGGATCTATTTCTATTCAGTTCTATTGAAATCCTTGATACCGGTATATTGTTCTGTAATTAATCAATAATTTATAGATAATAAGTTAACTCGATCTAAACTCATCAAAATGCAATACAATTTATAAATGTTAATCCTCTGCCTTTACTCACATGCGCTCGATCGTTTATGAAAAAAAAGTGTATGATAAAAAGGTCAATAAAAACTGCGACACTCTATGGTAAGTTTCCTGTCCATGCAACCATATAAAAATTAATTAGTTTATAAAGAAAACATAAAATGTAAAAAAAAAACAATGTACCAGTAACCTTATTACATTTAAATATCTAGATAATAAGCTCACAGTAAAAAAAATATCATACTTTTGGTGATCATAATCAAAGGAAAAAGATGTGGATTTTGGATACGAGATTTGGGACATGTGGGCGTGGTCATCTCAGTGTGACTCAGATATTCCATGACGGTAAACCAATAATATTTCGAAAGCTTTAAAATCGGATTTCTCTCTTTTTTTTACTTGGCATACAACTCAAATTGAGAATGGAAATGGGGAATATGTCAAAGAGACAACAACCCGACCAAAGAGCAGATAACAGCCGAAGGCCACAAATGGGTCTTCAACATAGCGAGAAAATCCCGCACCCGAAAGGGGGCTTGAGCTTGTCCCTAAATAAAAATGTGTACTAGTTCAGTGAGAATGGACGTCATACTAAACTCCCAAACATATAAATGAACTAAAATAAAAAAAAAAAAAAACATACAAGACTAACAAAGGCTTACTAGTAACTTAAAGCTGTTGGCATCTAAACTTTTGTCGTAAAGTTTTTCTCATGCAACCGAACATCATTGTCAATTTCTAAATGTAAGTCAAGACATAGACAGGGTCCTGGGAGGTGGACTTAAAGGTTGTATCCTAGATTTCAAGTTCGATGGGATAGATGCGTTTAACATAGTCAGTGTTTTAGTCATCAAACTTTTAAATATTTAGTGAGAGAACACCATCTTTGTATATATATATATATATATAGAAGTCTATAAAAAGGACCAACCAGCAAATTTACTATGTACCGGATCGTCTAGAATAGACGATACTGTGCAGATAAGGAAAAAATTATATAAGTCTAGAGATTTGCACAACGATACTAATATAAGATGGTATTATACGAAGATGTTGTTAATAAATCGTGTTGACAAATATTTCGGCTTAACAAATAGCCTTCTTCGGTGTCAATTATTTTAACAATACTGATAATATGTATAAAAATAGCTCAATAATACAGGTAAGTTTTGGTCTATTGATTTAATCCAAAATCCTGAACATCATAATATAAAACAAAACTCAATACTCAAATATACGTGACTGTGTATATTTACAACCCAAAATGAGTGAAAAATAAAACTTAATATTTTTTATTGATGCCGTTTGGATGATGTACATTTAGTTCCTTTATCCAAAAGCTTTCCCGAACCTGTCGCTGGGCATCACTCCAGTGAATGTTCTGTTCAATCACTAGGATCTTCATGCGGTTAAAGTCATCAAGTGTGTGACCAGACTGTCTGAAATGCTGAGAAACTGGGAGAAGTGGCTTCTTAGAGATATCACTCCTATGGCCATTGAGGCGTTTGTGGAAAGGCTGCTTTGACTCACCAACATATTGGAGGCCACAAACCGAACATTCTAGAATGTAAATAACATTCATACTTTTGCAGTTAACATTGCAAAATATCTTATAGTTATTTTCGGTTGCCTTACTGTGAAAAGTTGATGAGTGATGCATCTGTAGGCAGCATTTGCAGCGTTTTTCATCACACGAACGACATTCTCCAGAAGTACTTCTATTATCAGACACTTCAGCCCGCACTAGCAGGTTACGCAGACTATTGGGTTGCCTAAAAGCTATCATGGGAGGCTCGGGAAAAATCTTGGATAGTTTGGAATTCTTTTCAACTGTTTTCCAATGCTCACGAATGACACCGAAGCTGTTTTTGAGAGATGGGTGGTAAGTAAGAACACATGGAGTCCTTTTATTTTTCTTTTTATATTTGTATTCTAACAGTTTACTCCTTGGAATAGTTTCCGCTTTCTGAAAGCCTTTTTGGATAGTTTTGTGTTTGTAGCCCCTTCTCTTCAAGCGGGTTTCGAGTTGACGTAGTTGTTTTTTAGTTGTTTCTGAGTTGGAACATATTCGCTTGACTCTGAGTGCCTGACTGTACGGGATGCTCTTAGTACAATGAGCAGGATGGCAACTTTTAGGGGACAGATATTGGTGAGTGTCAGTAGGCTTAGAATATAGATCAGTGGATATGATGCCATCTGTGAGCGAGCTGGAGGTATCGAGGAAGGTGATTTTGGATTTAGATTTCTCATGAGTAAATTTGATACTTGGGTGTATGTTGTTGGCATGAGTGATGAATGTATCTAAATCCTCGTCACTTTTATTCCATTTCATATCCACATCATCTATAAATCTAAACCAGGAAAGCGGTTTTTCGATGGAAGATTCAAGGAGTTGTTTTTCTAATTTGCCCATAAATATGTTGGCATATGATGGAGCCATTTTGGTGCCCATAGCAGTTCCATTAACTTGCAGATAATGGTCTCCATCAAAAGTGAAGTTGTTGTTTTTGAGTACCAGCGTGAGCATTTTGACCAGGCATTCAGTAGGTGGATATTTCACTGGTCGGGAATTCCAAACTTCTTTACATGCATCAATGCCATCTGCATGTGGAATATTCGTGTAGAGGGAGGTGACGTCCATAGAGACAAGTGTCGTGTCGGAGGGGAGTGGATTTAAGGCCTGCAATTTTCTAAGATAATCGGTAGTATCTTTGATGTGAGATGGTAAGTCCTCAACATGTTGACGAAGATGGAAGTCAACGAATTCCGATATTTTTTCCGTCGGATGACCGTTCGCTGAAACTATAGGTCTTCCTGGGTTGTTGGCCTTATGAATTTTAGGTAAAAGATAAAATCTGCCCGGTTTTGGATTTTCTGGTTTCAAATATTCTAGAGTCTTTTCATCGATGAAACCATCGTTGTGCATTTCTACCAAACTATCAGTTATTTCTCTGCTAAAAGATGTTGTAGGATCAGAGTCTAGTTTTTGGTAGAACCTTGCATCGCCAAGTTGTCGTTCAGCCTCTTGAATATAGGCAGATTTATCCATGACAACCACTGCACTGCCTTTGTCTGCAGGTTTAATGACGATATTGTCGTTAGATCGTAAGTTTTTCAGTGCAGTTCGTTCTTCATTGGTAAGATTGTCAAAAGGTTTATTGTTATTTCTAGTATTTCTAATAATGTCCGACTTAAAATTGTCAATAAATGATTCCAAGGTGGCATTTTTGCTCGGTTTAGGGATCCAAGTACTCTTTTTTATAAATTTGTAGTTGTTTTCGTCTTCTGAAATTTCTGAGTCGCTATCCGAGCCTCTGTTGTTGTTCTCCTTCGACGCGAAATATTCCTTAATGCGTAGACTTCTGGCAAAATTGTCAAGGTCTTCCGACAATTTAGTTTCATTGACAGGGGCAGGTAAAGGACAGAAATTTAAGCCTCTCGAGAGAAGAGATGTTTCAGCTTCCGTTAACTGGTGTTTGGAAAGATTGACCACAATGTTGGAGGGCGAATCAGTCTCTAGTGACCTACGTTTAAAGCGCCTTACTCGTTTTCTCTTTTTTTCAGATGGTAAAGAAGGATTGATATGATCGATGCCATCCCTACGGAATTTTCTTTTCTGCCTTTCACTCAAATTTTGAGATTGTATGGTTGTTATGTCTTTAAGGCGAGCACTGATAGCATCACAATTGTCAGATGTGAGATCTTTTTTGCAGCTATTTGAAAGGGTGTTAAATTCGCCAGTAAGAGTTTTCAGATATTCTTCGCAGTGTTGTTTGAGGAGGACCATTAACCGCTTGGAACAATGGTAGAGGGTTTGATCCCATTTGCGAAGTAATGTGTTGGATAAATTGCCAGGTGTTTGTGGCATGAGCTTGATTTGTAGTCCGTTAGGAATACTTTCATTATACACATAATGGGTTAAATTAGATAAGTGGTGTTCAGTTCTAATTTGTTTTTGTTTAATAGCTCTAAGTTGTTTAAAATAATCATTGATGTTCATGATATAAGAGCTGAAAACTTAAATTCACTGGGATTATGTGAATAACATAATACAGGTCATTCAGAGGAAAATAATATAGAAGTCTATAAAAAGGACCAACCAGCAAATTTACTATGTACCGGATCGTCTAGAATATACGAAGATGTTGTTATTAAATCGTTTTGACAAATATTTCGGCTTAACAAATAGCCTTCGTCGGTGTCAATAATTTTAACAATACTGATTACAATAGACGAAGGCTATTTGTTAAGCTAATCAGTATTGTTAAAATTATTGACACCGACGAAGGCTATTTGTTAAGCCGAAATATTTGTCAAAACGATTTAATAACAACATCTTCGTATAATACCATCTTATATTAGTATCGTTGTGCAAATTTCTAGACTTATATAATTTTTTCCTTATGTGCACAGTATCGTCTATTCTAGACGATCCGGTACATGGTAAATTTGCTGGTTGGTCCTTTTTATAGACTTCTATATATATACAAGTCTAGTCTAAATTGAAAACAAAGTTCAAACCTATGATTGCGTTGGATAAAAACCGCAATTTTTATACGTGTGCATGCAAAACAGTTCATTTGGTAGAGGGGTCTAAATAATATATATATATATATAATTGAAAATGGAAATGGGGAATGTGTCAAAGAGACAACAACCCGACCATAGCGGAGCAGACAACAGCCGAAGGCCAGCAATGGGTCTTCAATGCAGCGAGAAACTCCCGCACCCGGAGGCGTCCTTCAGCTGGCCCCTAAACAAATATGTATACTAGTTCAGTGATAATGGACGTCATACTAAACTCCAAATTATACACAAGAAACTAAAATTAAAAATGATACAAGACTAACAAAGGCCAGAGGCTCCTGACTTGGGACAGGCGCAAAAATGCGGCGGGGTTAAACATGTTTTTTGAGATCTCAACCCTCCCTCTATACCTCTAGCCAATGTAGAAAAAAACAAACGTACAACAGTACGCACAGTAAAAATCAGTTTAAGAGAAGTCCGAGTCCGATGTCAGAATAGGAAACAAAAGAAAATAAACAAAATGACAATAATTCATAAATAACAACAGACTACTAGCAGTTACTGACATGCCAGCTCCAGACCTCAATTAAACTGATTGAAAGATTATGTCTTCGTCATATGAATATCAGGCACAATCCCTCCTGTTAGGGGTTTAGTATTATACCGTCATAAAATATATGAGAAGAACATAACCATTGATAACGTGGCCGTTTCATGCCAACAACTGGTTTTAGAATAAATATGTTTAATTCCGATGCAAAGACCCTATAAGTGAATCAATATTAAAGCCAAAATATGCAATTTTTAATGACCTGACAACAGTATCGTAACTATATCCCTTCTTAATAAGTCTGTTTAAAGGTTTTGTTAGCTTTTGAGGTGAATACTGACATTTTTGTGCTTTGTAAAGAATATTACCATAAAAGATTGGATGTGAAATACCCGAACGTTTAAGATGTCTGCATGTTGAGTTATATTTACGAATGATGTCCTTATACCGATGATAAAATTTAGTAAATGTTTTGACTAGTTTATGATATCGAAAACCCTGGTGTAATAATTTTTCAGTAATACTTCTTCCATATACTGCCCACATTCAACTTTCTGAATATACTGGCAAATTGTCACATTTTATTCAATATATAAATTTCTCTCGCTAAAATCTAATACGTTGTTATATACACGAGCGAATCGTACAAGTTGAGATATATAAACACCATAAGATTGTGACAAGGGAACATCACCATCTAAAAATGGATAATTAACGATAGGAAATGAAAAATCATCACCAACGATATTAACAAGATCAGTATACATTATGAAAGTAGATATTTCAAAGTTCCCTGTTACTGAGTTATTTTTTTTCAATCTGTTACTTAAAATTGCATTAAAGTTTTTCACATCACAAAAATATGGATGCAGATGTAGCTACTACATATATAATTTAGATATTTAATGATAATAATAATTTTGAGGAATTATAGATCCGGAATTTTGTAAAGGCTTCGGCGGAATATAGATTTGCACGTTATAAATAGCGACCTCGCTTTCGTTCTTTTCACCACGAGACATCAACCATGCCACAGGTGCGAACATTATGCTCCTGTAAAAACTCGATTTTCTTGTCCGATTTTGATTTATAAAATAATTTAAGCTCATATTAAGGCCATGGCAAATTCAATCAATTATGAGAGTCAGGATAACACGTTTTTTTTACTTGGATATGATGATACAATTCATCTCGCCGCAAACAAGTAAAGCCATGTGCGCCAAGTCCAAATAAATGTGACTTTACAAGGCAGTCATAATTATTTGGACTACATGTTTATTTGTAATTTAACGTAAATTGAAACCTAATTTTGGGTGTTATACCAATTTATGAATAGTTTAACATATTCTGAGTTTGCGATTCCGAGACCGCTGGCCGATCCGCTCCGATTTTCTAATTGCAAATCAGAAAAAAATCATTGGCTCCAGTCTGGAGTCCAGATTCAGAATTCCTTGAATGATTCTACAAGATCGATCTATTCTGTATCGAGATAAATTCTGCCAATGTAGGCACACCTCCAATGGAGTTGAATATATAGTCTAATTATTATAGTATCCTTCACCACACAAATCACAATATAATAATATGCAATGAATGTCTAATCCAATTATGAATACATAGTAATATATCAATATTTCTGTACCTCCACCGTTATGTACAATTAATATATGATTTGACAATAAAAAGATAAAATTTATCTTTAATTTTAATCTGTATGCACCCATATAATAACCAAAATTTATTATTTGTTGATAACCGTCTGATTCGATTAATGGGAAAACGAGGAGGGGGAAGGTGAAAATAAGTATATTGCTGGATGCCAGAAGACTCTACCCACTGGCACTTCCTAAAAAATCTCTTCCCTCTGGTAAGGCCGAAATTTAAAAAATCTGTTTCCGGTAACCCGACCGACCCTGTTTTTTAGCCTCGACCCTAATTTTTTTATTGGATCTTCAAAAAAAAAAAAAAAATTTGGTATCAACCGACCCTGTTTTTGACACAGGCTTCTAATAATCGACATAATTATTTATCTAACTTGTTTCTACTGGCACAGATAGCCAGTAAAACATTTTATTTATGTCAAAAGGTATTCCAAATAGGTTAAAATCCAAGAAATGTGCACAGCAGTTGCTTCAAGGGAAAACGGTACTATTACATTTTCCCAGCATTAGGTTGGCCTTTTGTGTACCCAAGGCAGGTGAAGGAAATCAAATTAGGAGCGCTGTGATTGGATGTAAGGGTACAATATATTTTTTTAGTTATCTATGAATAACTGCAGTGTGTATATTTACAATATAAATTTTAAAACCTATTGAAATATTTTCTAGAGAATTATTCGAAAAGGCTTTCAAAATTTCATAAATTTGGTGTAAAATGACGGTGGGCATGGATAACATAAACAAGCTCCGTTGGAAATTGGTCATGATACTATTTGGCTTCAATTTTTAAAATAGAATAATAAAGTTCTAACACCACACATAACTGTTTTATCTAGGTTTTTATTATAAAAAGTGGTAAATTTTGAAAATGTTAGTATTGTCGCCTATGGCAGAATAAATAGTACCGTTTTCCCTATTCAAAAACATTGCAAATGGCCGCACTTCCGGTATGTAAAACTAATTACGGACCCGGAGTTGGAAAAACCATGATAATTTTCCAGATTTCGTTTACAATGTCAAAAAAAAAAAAAAAAAAAAAAAAAAAAAAAAATCCGCCCAAACCGATGGTATTTTTCAAAAGGAAACACAGATTATTTTTTTTTAGGCCTAACCAAATATTATGAAAATTGTACACAATTATTATTACTACAAAAATCAAGTACGAATTTGGGTAGGCTAGCATCAGCTTCACCTTGTCCTTGATTTATGACAATTATGTTCCTTTTATAAATTATGTAATATGCAAGGGGTCATGGCCATGGACACATACTCCATTTGTTTTCAAATGGTTACCCAGATTTCCTAAGGAGGAAGATCCTTCACTTGCAGATAATTACAAATATAACCAAACTAAAATGTTGGGGACTCAATTTCCAGAATGTTTGATTTATATTATCTAGATATTTAGGTATCTAAGTTCAAGGAGTAAACCTTTAATTGACCCCTACGTCTGAGCTTTATTTTAGAGTATCTTGCCCATTTAGAAAAAAATGTTTTGAAGATTTTATTATATAATAGAATAGAGAATGGAAACTGGGAATGTGTCGTAGAAAAAACAACCCAAGCCAACGAATGACCATGGGTCTTCAATGCAGCAACAAGACCCATTGTTTTACATGTCTGCTATTAATTTATACTACTTATGTAATGTTCTATGTTGATATTTGATCAAATAAATATACAATATTAGATCAATGTCAGAAAAATATAAACTTTTTTGTATGAGGCTGAGAAACTGGGGATGGGCGAGGTTTAACCGAGCCCTTCCCCAGTTTTGTGCCGAATACAAAGAAGTTTATATTTTTCTGACATTGACCTAATATTGTTTTTATACTGCAACTTAAATTCATACTTTGATAGCTATTTTAATTGTAATACAAATTTCAAACTTATTTTTTATCCCTGAACGAACCCCTGATTGTGTAAAAAGTGATCCATGATGAAATTGACATTGCACAAAATATAGCTGTGTTACTATATTTAGGGAATAAACACAACTAGTTGCAGTATAAATCTATATTGTTTTCTTATTCCTGAATATCCTGTTTTAGGTCCAGAAGAAAGTGTCAAAGTCCAGTGCAGGCAAAAGAGGGAAAGGCAAGAAGAAGAGTGCCTTGAAGTACACCATTGACTGTACCCACCCAGTCGAGGATGGAATCATGGATGTTGTCAGCTTTGTAAGATAGTAAACAATTAACTGATGTTCAAATTACTTAATTATACACAGCCTGTAGCTTAAAAAAACAGCATCATGACCTATACTTTTAATCTTTGTTTATTTAAGGCATAATCTTAATAAAATCAGTCAATTTCTAGTCTACAACTCATCCAGATATTAATTGAAATCATTTAGAAAACAAGTGAACTGGTCAATGGAAAAAAAAATCATGAGTAAATAGCTTATTGTACACTGATAGAATAGAAATATATAAAATGGAAATTATCTTGTACATGTGCATTAGGTGAATTAGTTAAAAATCAAGCTTGGTTGTGAATCTTTTCCCGGTTATGTGGTGATTCACTTAGAGACATTTGTAAGTATGAAACATGAAAAATGATATATCAGAGTTGCCGCTCCAAATCACCAACAATCCTCCTATTTCAAAGTGAATCACTCAACACCACTAAGAGTGATTTCTAACTGACTCGCCTATTGTGTACTAAACGTATTATACTGTACTAATGATAAACATGTGACTAGGGTTATCTCCCCTAGTCTAGGTTAGGGTTGCCTCCCCTATACCTGGGTTAGGGTTATCTTCCCTAATCCAAATATCTGATTTGTGATGCAGGAGAAATTCTTACAAGAGAGAATCAAAGTGAACGGCAAGACTAGCAACATGGGAACCAATGTTGTCCTGGAGAGGAACAAGAACAAAGTCAACCTCACTTCTGACATCCCATTCTCAAAAAGGTAAGCTACCTACATGTACCATGGACCTGATTTTAGGTCTTTGCCAAGTCATATGTAAACCAAAATGAATATTTAAAAGGGTACAGCTGTGTCTGACCTCGGACACCGATTTCTCAAAAACCTACCATTGGACTTTGATTTCAGTTTGTTTTAGATCTTTGACAAGTCGTGTATAAACTCCTGAATTTTTAAAGGGGTAAAGCTATGCATAAGTCAAGGAATGCCCTACTGGTCCCATCGAGGAAAAATTAATTGGGGCCAGAGAGATAAAACTTTTAGCTTGGGCCAATTATTTTCAAAATTATAGTTAATGACTGGTAAAGGTACATTTACGTGAAAGTAGTTTATTTCTGAAGAGTATAAAAATATTTTAGTCACATTATTTTGTTTGTACATGTAAATATGCTACATTTATCATAATTGTGATGTCCTTCTATGATGAAAAGTTGGAATTACCGTTTGATGTTAAAAACTATGAAACCATCATCGCGGCTTTTTAATATCTGACTGAAGGACAAAATTATGTATCAAAGCTAAGGGGATTATTTTAAATTAATTTACTCGCATATTGTCATGATGTAAACTATGTACATGTACAAGTCATTTTTCTTATGATTATAAATACTATGGAAAGCAATAATTTTGCAGTTGTAGACTTGTGGAAAACTGGATATATATATTCTATTGTAGCAGTCTTCACGCTAAGCCACAGGCCCGGCAGCCCAGGCTTGTAAAATTGTACTTGGGCCTGTAAAAATCATCTCAACAGGCCAACAGAATCTTAACTAAAATTTTCCAAAAAATTGAGCCCGTGGTCTGAAGATTTATAAGTTTATTGTGAAGACTGTTGTTGTATAAATTCTAACCTGCCAAATAGTAATTTTGCAAGTCTGTCCAGAGGGGGATTGGGACTGTGGCTAAGTGTGAAGACTGATTTAAATCATTCATTTAACAGTACTAAAAATGGTTCATTAAAAAAAAATAAGTTTAGATAGAATACATGTACTTGTGAAATTGGGATTGCAACCTATTACTAATCACTATGGCAGATACAATGGGATCTATTTTGATCCAATTGTTTTATCATAAGATGATTTTTGTCTGTAGTACAATGGATTTTGCAATGAATATGAATGTATAATACATGTACATGTAGATTTGTAAATCAGGTGTTACCTTTAATCTCCCCGTCTCAGTGAAATTCTGTTCACTGAAGTGTGAGAAAAACGCATTATTCTCACGACTAGTTAGGAAATGTACATGATGCATGTATGCTATATTATAACATTGTCCTTTGATGATGAAAAGTTGGAATTACCGTTTGATATACACATGAAACAAACAACGCGGCTTTTTATTTCTGATTGAAGGACAAACTTATAGTAGGTACATGCATTTACATTACTTAATTAACATTGATGACATTAACATCTTTATAGTAAAAGATAATGGAATTCCAATGCTAACATCATTGTTATTATCAGCAATGACAATCTTCTGAATATTGTATCAATGAACTGGCTAAAGATTTTTTGTTAAACCAAAAAGTAGGACTAGATTTAAGTTGAAAAAATTTCTTGGTTGTGAATTTTTTTTTAACTACAGTACATGTAAATGCTTTGAAATGTTTGTCTAACCTCCATTCACCCTGTTTAATACTGAACCAGCACTGAAGTGATTCAGAAATGGTCTCGCATGAAAAGGTTTGTAATGACATGTCACATACAATATTAAAGTTGTCCTTCTATGATGAAAAGTTGGAATTACCGTTTGATATTAACTTGAAACTAACAACGCGGCTTTTTATTTCTGATTGAAGGACAAAACTTTGTATATGGGGACATTAATTACCATTCAGGTCTACCAGTGTAACACTTACACTGGTGATACGAATTTAACATACTTACTTTTATGACCTTGGAACTCCAATGTCTAACATCATTGCTGTTAACTATACCTGCGATGTGAGTCTGAATATTAGATCAATGGACTGACTTATTGAACAAAAAAGTAAGAATCAGTAAACGGAAGTTGCTGTCCATTAGATTGTCTTTTCCTGAATTTTCTGTCGACGGGCGAGACATCTGGGTCAACAGTTTATTTAAACGGAATGCTGTGAAACCTCTCTCTAACCTTCAATCACACTGTGAATCACTTGACCCCAGCACTAAAGTATTTTAATAACTGCCTGTTGCATGACAAGTTTGCTAACTACATATTACATACTATATCAAAATTGTCCTTTGATGATGAAAAGTTGGAATTACCGTTTGATATAAATATGAAACTAACAACGCGGCTTTTTATTTCTGACTGAAGGACAAAACTCATATACAATGTACATGTAGGTAACAGTTACTATTTAGGTCTACCATATCTTGTATGACATTGTAATTCCAATGACCAACCACAACATTGTCATTGCCAGCAATGGGGATCTTTTGAATATTGTATCAATGGATTGGCATAAGCTTTCTTGTTGCACAATACGGTACGATTCAGTACACGGAAGGCAATTCAAGTTTAAAAAAATCTCTCTAGGTTGTGAATTTTAAAACGAAATGCTAATCCTCCTGTTGCACAGAGAATCACTCAACATCAGCACTGAAGTTTTTCTGACACTGATGCATGATAAGTTTTGGTAGTGATATGGGGCATACAATATTAAAGTTGTCCTTCTATGATGAAAAGTTGGAATTACCGTTTGATATAAACATGAAACTAACAACGCGGCTTTTTATTTCTGATTGAAGGACAACACTGATATGGGTATACCTGTATGTTGCACTGTCAGGTGAAACATAAAAAAAAATCAAGAACAACCTTGGAATTCCAACGTCCAATTCATATTATTACAAACATATTCTGTGATTCTTTCCTTTCCCGCAATTGGGTCTTCTGAAAATTATAATGGCTTGTGTTTTGTTATTAATTCAGTACTATACACACAAGGGGATTTTATATTTAAAAAAATTATAACTTTTTACACTAACTGTTTGTGATTGTGGTGATTCACTGTGTCTACAATATTCCATAGCTATAGGTACTATATATGTATATAATATTAGGTTTGTAAAGGGTGTTGTAAGCTCCAATAGCCCTGTGTGAATCACTAGACATCAAGTGTGTGAAACTCTTGTCACATGATTAATTTGGTAAAACGTGCTGCAATACAATGATTCAGTTGTCCTTTGATGATGAAAAGTTGGAATTACCGTTTGATATAAACGTGAAACAAACAACGCGGCTTTTTATTTCTGATTGAAGGACAACACTTATCAGTGTATTAAATCTAAAAAGTTTTTACAGAAGTCAAAAATTTCTATGATAGTATTTGAATAAGATGATTAAAACATGTTGCTGCTCCTGATATGCATGTAATATTTGCAAATGGGGCTGCATTCATAAAATATGTTATTTGCATGTTTCCTCAAATGAAAATTTTAAATACCAGACTGGTTTGAACAAATACCACATGACTAAAAGCAATGACAGGAAATAATTAGCATTCGTAAACTTAAAATGATTTCTATCTTTTTAGATATCTGAAATACTTGACAAAGAAGTACTTAAAGAAGAATAATCTGAGAGATTGGTTACGAGTTGTTGCTAGCAACAAGGATTCTTATGAACTCAGATACTTCCAGATCAATAACGAGGATGAGGAGGAAGAAGATGGCGACGAGTAACCATAGCAACTGTTATTTAATGTAATAAAGTTGTTGGTCAGCAGAATATGTGTTAGGATTTATTTTGGAAACAATTGTATTTTAATATTTTGTAGTCTGAATGTATGAATATGTTGTGATCTACATGTATGTAAAGAAGTATGAGTAGAAAGACATGCCAGGTATTAATCAACGAAATAGCAACCCTGCAACACAAAATCAGAAAAGACGATGTGCAGGTGAATTATGGTCTTAAACAATAAATAATTGGTATTATCATATTTGCTGCAACACAAATCCCGAAGGTAAAATTTCAGAAGTTGGAAAAGAAGCCGACTTGGAACAGGCACATTAATAGGTAGGTTCTTCAAAGGAAGAAAATTAAATTTATGAGGGACTAGACTGTTTAACTGTAATAAACATTGAAAGCCAAAAAGGAAGTCTCATCGGAAGACCAATGTATTGGCCGATGTTAAGTTTTTGTGGTTTGTTCAGTTCTTTCGATACTAAAAGCAATAGGGCCACTTTATTTGGTGTGTGGACTGACGGTAAGATGTACATGTCTAACTGAAAGGTGTCGTCCGAGTTTGGTCAGTTCTTTCGATACTAAAAGCAGTAGGGCATTTTATTTGGTGTGTGGACTGATGGTCAGATGTACATGTCTAACTGAAAGGTGTCGTCTCCACCAGAGACCAAATGACGTAGAAGTTTAACAAATATAGGTCGCTGTACAGCCTCCAACAATGAGCAAAACCCATACTGCATAGTCCGCTATAAATGGCTCGAAATGACAAATGTAAAACAATTCAAAACGAGAAAACTAACGGCCTGATTCATGTACAAAATAATGAACGAAAAACAAATATGATATACAGCAACAAACGACAACCACTGAATTACAGACTCCTGACAGTGACTTGGGATAGGCACATACAGAAAGCGGCGGGGTTAAACTAGTTATTTTCTCCCATTCATCACAGGCGAATGTATGATTTTATGTAAATCTGCCACGAAGTGCAGGTAGATTACATCTCAACAGGTAACTTTGAAGTTTTTGTCAGTGTCTTCGAGCATGCATTCTTTGAAACTTTTTTTATTAATTTTTGTACGACCAAAAAAACATTTTGCGGTCGTATATTGGTATGACGATGACCAAAGACACACTGGTTTTCACACAATAACTTTAGTTTAAATGAATGGATCTCTATGAATTTTAACCAAAAGGTTCAATACCACAAAAGGAACGTTGGGATTGATTTTGGGGATTATGGTACCAACAGTCGAGGAAAAAGGGGCCAAAAATGCTTTTGAACTTCCAGACAATAACTTGTGTGTTAGTGAATGGATCTCTCTGACATTGTACCACAAGGTTCCATATCACAAAGGGAATGCTGGGATTGATTTTGGGGGTAATTGCCTCAAAATTTAAGGAATTGGGGGCAAAAAACGAGGCATTTTTCTAGTTTCATTACTAACTTGTGTGAAAGTGTATGGTTCTTTCTAAAAGTTCCATATCACAAAGGAAAAGCCGGAATTGAGTTGGGGAGGGGGGTAATTGCCCAAAACGTTTAGGAAAAAGTGGCTAAAAATAAGCATTTTTCTAGTTTCCAGACAATAACTTGTGTTCAAGTGTATGGATCTCTCTGAAATTGTACTACAAGGTACCATATCACAAAGGGAAGGCTGGGATTGATTTTGGGGGTAATTACCTCAAAATATTAGGAATTGGGGACAAAAAACAAGGATTTTTCTAGTTTCAGAACAATAACTTGTGTGTAAGTGTATGGATCTTTATGAAATCGTACTACAAGGTTCCATACCACAAAGGGAAAGCTGGGTTCGAGTTTGGGGGTAATTGCCCTAAACGTTTAGGAATTTGGGGCCAAAAACAAGCAATTTTACAGTTTGCAGACAATAACTTGTGTTCAATTGTATGGATCTCTCTGAAATTGTACTGGTAGGTACCATACCACAAAGGGAAGGCTGGGATTGAGTTTGGGGGTGATGAATCATAAGTGTGTTCAAAAATTGAGGGGGGGGGGATTTTTTTTTCTTTAAAATTTTCCATTTTAAGTTGGTTATTTTTTTTTTATATATATATAAAAGCAAATAATAATGATATGGTTTAAATTCATCAAAAATTGAAATATTGGGGTTCTTTGATATGCTGAATTTAACACGTGTATTTAGATTCTTAATTTTTGGTCCCGTTTTCAAATTGGTCTATATTAAGGTCCAAAGGGTCCAAAATTAAACTTGGTTTGATTTTAACAAAAATTGAATTCTAGGGGTTCTTTGATCTGCTGAATCTAGCTGTGTATGTATTTAGATTTTGGATATTGGACCGTAATAGGTAAATTAAAAAAATTTAAGTTCTGAGACCACATTCATTCTGTGTCAGAAACCTATGCTGTGTCAAATATTTAATCACAATCCAAATTCAGAGCTGTATCAAGCTCGAATGTTATGTCCATACTTGCCCCAACTGTTAAGGGTTCGACCTCTGCGGTCGTATCAAGCTGCGCCCAGCGGAGCATTTTGTTTTATTTCATATGGAAATGGGGAATGTGTCAAAGAGACAACAACCCGACCATAGAACAGACAACAGCAGAAGGTCACCAACAGGTCTTCAATGTAGCGAGAAATTCCCGCACCCGGAGGCGTCCTTCAGCTGGCCCCTAAACAAATATATATACTAGTTCAGTGATAATGAACGCCATACTAAACTCCAAATTGTACACAAGAAACTAAAATTAAAAATAATACAAGACCAGCAAAGGCTAGAGGCTCCTGACTTGGGACAGGCGGGGTTAAACATGTTTATGAGATCTCAACCCTCCCCCTATACCTCTAGCCAATGTAGAAACGTAAACGCAAAACAATACGCACATTAAAATTCAGTTTAAGAGAAGTCCGAGTCTGATGTCAGATGTAACCAAAGAAAATAAACAAAATGACAATAATACATAAATAACAACAGACTACTAGCAGTTAACTGACATGCCAGCTCCAGACTTCAATTAAACTGATTGAAAGATTATGTCTTCATCATATGAATATCAGGCACAATCCTTCCCGTTAGGGGTTTAGTATCATACCATCATAACATATATGAGAAGAACATAACCCGTGTCATGCCAACAACTGGTTTTTAAATAAATGTGTTTAGTGCCGATGCAAAGACCCTATAAGTGAATCAATATTAACGCCAAAATATGCAATCTTTAATGACCTGACAACAGTATCGTAACTATATCCCTTCTTAATAAGTCTATTTAAAGGTTTTGTTAGCTTAAGAGGTGAATACTGACATTTTTGTGCTTTATAAAGAATATTTCCATAAAAAATTGGATGTGAAATACCTGAACGTGTAAGAAGTCTGCATGTTGAGCTATATTTACGAATGATGTCCTTATACCGATGATAAAATTTAGTAAATGTTTTGACTAGTTTGTGATATCGAAAACCCTGGTGTAATAATTTTTCAGTAATACATAAATTTCTCTCGTTAAAATCTAAAACATTGTTACATACACGAGCGAATCGTACAAGTTGAGATATATAAACACCGTAAGATGGTGACAAGGGAATATGCATACGTTTTTTGTCGAGCCTGCGACTTTTGTCGCAAAAGCGAGACAGCGATCCTACATTCCGTCGGCGTCGTCGTCGTCGTCGGCGTCCACAAATATTCACTCTGATTAAAGTTTTCCAAATTTTAATAACTTTCTTAAACTATCCTGGATTTCTACCAAACTTGGACAGAAGCTTGTTTATGACCATAAGATAGTATCCAGAAGTAAATTTTGTAAAAAAAATCCTGTTTATCCGTATTTTACTCATAAATGGACTTATGTTTTTCTTCCAGTTAACATTACATACAGTCTGCAGTTAAAGTTTTTTAAACATTTATTGTCGAGCCTTCGACTTTAGTCGAAAAAGCGAGACATAGCGATCCTACATTCCGTCGTCATCGTCGTCGTCGGCGGCGGCGTCCACAAATATTCACTCTGTGGTTAAAGTTTTTGAAATTTTAATAACTTTCTTAAATTATCTTGGATTTCTACCAAACTTGGACAGAGGCTTGTTTATGATCATAAGATAGTATCCAGAAGTAAATTTTGTAAAAATAAAATTCCATTTTTTCCGTATTTTACTTATAAATGGACTTAGTTTTTCTGCCAGGAAATATTACACTCACTCTGTGGTTAAAGTTTTTAAAATTTTAATAACTTTCTTAAACTATCCTGGGTTTGTACCAAACTTGGACAGAAGCTTGTTTATGATCAAAAGTTAGTATCTAGAAGGAAATTTTGTAAAAAAATAAATCCATTTTTTTCGTATTTTACTTTTAAAGGGACTTAGATTTTCTGCCAGGAAACAACATATTCACTCTGTGGTTAAAGTTTTTATAATTATATTATCTTTCTTATACTATTTTGGATTTGTACCAAACTTGGACAGAAGCTTGTTTATGATCAAATGCTAGTATCTAGAAGGAAATTTTGTTTTCTTCCAGTTAACATTACATTCAGTCTGCAGTTAAAGTTTTTAAACATTTATTAGATTCATAAACTATCCTGGATTTTTACCAAACTTGGACAGAAGCTTCTTTCAATCAAAAGATAGTATCAAGAGGAATATTTTTATTGATTTACTTCCTCATTTTTGTTGAGCCTGCGATTAACAGAAAAAGTAGGCGAGACACTGGGTTCCGCGGAACCCTTACGAATTTTTAGATTCATAAACCATCCTGGATTCTTACCAAACTTGATCAGAAGCTTATTACATTCAAAAGATAGTAAGAAAATTTTTAATAATTATTTCACCATTTTTGTTGAGCCTAACAGCAAAAGCAGGCGAGACACTGGGTTCCGCGGAACCCTTACGAATTTTGTTACTAGTATACAATGTATATTACAAGTTGTTATTATAGAGTTAATTCCCTTTCTTGTACGATCCCTAGTTTTTTTGGGGGGTATTTTATTTTGCTGTTCGAGATTTAAAATGGGGATGGCTGGGATCTTATAAAACATGCAGTTTAATCGGCTGCATTTCATTTGCGTGTCCCAAGTAAGGCACCTCATCATTGGTGGTTTTATATCTTAAAATTTTAGATCTGTGATAGTATTTTTTATTTTATTCACGTTTGAGACTTGTATCGATTATAAACTTTGCATATTGTATAGACACTTATCTGATATTCATGAAGACTATGTTGACATTTTATTCATATTACGAAATTGTGGTCTATAAACAAAATGTATTATTGCACATCAGAGAGTTTCAAAAGATCAAAATCCTAACTTGCGATGATCGAATCCACACTAACCTCCTTAAACGCTAGATGCAATGGTTTAAGAACAATATTACAAGTCTACACATAGGTTTATTACGTAGAATATGAGAAAAAGGGGAGGTCTAGAAGGTTATATTTTGGGAACATTTCGTTCCAGTGTTATTTTAATGTGATGCATGTATATATATGGTAAAGGAAACCCCCTTCTTTGGAACTTTCGCCCCTGGATTCGTCCTCTGCTTGATAATTGATTAAACGTAAAATTATAAAAAGTTCACTCAGATCAACCGGAACTTGGTAGATAGATAAGTTTCGTTGATAAAAATTTCAAAACGTGTAGGAAGAAGGATTTTGGCGCAGACCATCATTTGGAATGTGGTCATTTATTTGTTTTATTTCATTATTTGTGATCAGTGTCCATTCTGATTGTAAATTGCCGACTGATGAACACGTAAAACACTTGGACATAAGAATTCCAGAACAACCGGTTCCAAAGAAATTAACGCATTATGTTTGTCAACAATTTAAGGTAAATAAGTAATGTACAAATGTGTACGTGTTTGATAGTATACAATCTACATGTATGCAGAAGAAAAGAGCCTTATCAATAAGCAAGCCTGTAATATGGTATTATATTCAATAAGATTTGTATTTAAGATTTATACGGATTTTTCTCAACCTGCGATTTTGTGCGGGCGCGGCGTTAATCCGCAGTCAATCAATCTATTGTTCTTTGTATTTCCGATTTCAAATTGTATTCCCAATCGAAAAAGATACGAATATGCTATAAATGTCATAAATGGACCTTTTATAGTAGGTGCCCCAGAGATTTTCACATTAAATGTTAAAGATTCAACAAGTTATTCTTAAACTTTTCAAATGACTATACTTATGGAATATTAAAACCGTCATTCATAGAAACTTTGAAGCTGCCATAAGCATGATAAGGGATGCGGACTAAATGAAACTTCCAGCGGTTTCATAAAAAAAGTGGCAAAAACACTCTGCTTCAATTGTAATAAATATCATCAGAGAGCGATAGAGTCGGGATTCTATTGAAGTCAATTTCATCAGAGTCGATATTTCTATTGAAACTAATGTCATCAAACGAAAGAGTCGGGATTTCTATCGAAATCAATTTAATCAGAGAGTCCATATTTCTAATGAAACTAATATCATCAGAGAGCCAGAGAGTCGATATTTCTATTGAAACTAATATCATCAGAGAGCCAGAGAGTCGATATTTCTATTGAAATTGATATCACCAGAAAGCGAGAGAGTCTGTATTTCTATTGTGACAAATTATAATATTGTGCTCATGTTCTCTAAGTCTCCGACGTGTTACTCAGAATTTACTGACTTCATTCAGCGAAAACTCTTATTAAGTTAAACGTGACATAAAGAATAAAACAAATACACTCACCATATAAATATATATATATATATCATATATTTTAAAGAACCAACAAGGCCGCAGTGTTCGACCTTAATTTCTCCAAAGCGTTCCCATTATAGAAAATGCCAGTACTTTTCCTGAAGAGGCAAACCTGATAATTCAATAAAAAGGAGGAAGTGTTCGACCTTATTTTCTCCAAAGCGTTCCCATTATAGAAAATACCAGTACTTTTGGAGAATGTTTTAGTTAAATGTCCTGTGGAGGATCTTTTAGTTAAATGTCCAGTGGAGAATGTTTTAGTTAAATGTCCAGTGGAGAATGCTTAGTTAAATGTCGAGTGGAGAATGTTTGAGTTAAATGCCCAGTGGAGAATGTTTGAGTTAAATGTCCAGTGGAGAATGTTTTAGTTAAATGTCCTGTGGAGGATCTTTTAGTTAAATGACCAGTGGAGAATGGTTTAGTTAAATGTCCAGTGGAGAATGCTTAGTTAAATGTCGAATGGAGAATGTTTAAGTTAAATGTCCAGTGGAGAATGCTTAGTTAAATGTCGAGTGGAGAATGTTTGAGTTAAATGTCCAGTGGAGAATGTTTTAGTTAAATGTCCTGTGGAGGATCTTTTAGTTAAATGTCCAGTGAAGAATGTTTTAGTTAAATGTCCAGTGTTGAATGCTTAGTTAAATGTCCAGTGGAGAATGTTTTAAGCATATTCAGGAGGAGAGCAACAATAAGTAAAGGTTCCAGTGGGATGAATGCTGCATGGACTGACAACGGCAGCTAGGATGCATGGGCTCCTTGTATACAACCATTTTGATGTCTGTAAGTTAACAAATTGATTAACTGTATCTTCTGCATAATTATCTTTGGTGATTTTTCTTTTATCGTCTGTATACCATTTGTGTATTTTCCGTACGTCATCAACATGTTCAAACTATATTTTGTATATATTGGTATGACTTTTGTGTATATTGGTTTGTCTTTTGTATATATTGGTATGTCTTTTTTTATTCTTTTGCATATCCTCTATAAATCTTTTGAATGTATTCGTATATCAAAGGTACCAGACGATCAAGATTACAATGCAATCGCCTTCGAAGGACTGATAGGTAACCCTGGTGTTGTTCATCATATACTCGTGTTTGGTTGCGACTTTGACGTCAATATAATTGTGAGTAGATTTATAATCACCACGAATCTGTGGGTATACATGCAAAAATATATCTGGTGTTTGAAAAAAATGAATTAAGAACAGTTGTTTTGTTTATCGTCACCGTGCAGTCTTTCAATAACAGACCAGCATACTAGCACCGGTTCTTTAAATCGCGAGATTCGTGATAGTTAAATGTGCCATCAAATAAAGTATATCCGAGACACACACTCTCTTAAAAAATAAAATCAAACCCATTTTGATCGATTAACACAGACATATCAGCACCTGGTAAAGTTTTGCAATGGGTTTGATAACGACAAATTAGATCCAACAAATATCAACACGCTTATAAGAGAAAAGAACACAAAATAAAATTAAAAAAACGAAAAATGTTCACATGCATGTACAGTCATTCCTGTTTATGAATAAGCTTTATACCGTTTAGTATCGTCGGTTGAACGAACTTGTTTCAGCTCATGTTGATTGTTGGTGATTGCACATATGTGCCGAATATAAATAAATTTACTTACTATCTACTTACGTTGATAATGGTTTCATTTTTTTATATCGTTACGTAATTTCGTTTTGGAAAAAAATAATTCACTATGAAAAATGGACATGACTAAATAGTGGGTGACGTTTAACTTCGTGTAATCTGAACAGGAACCACATGAATGTGGAGCGTATGATGGTAGATGCAGGAGCTGGTTGGCTCAGTGGACAATAGGGGTCGATGGGAAGACTTGTACTTATGCTGATACTGGTATCCGGTTTGGGAAGAACTCTTACAAGTACATGTCTATACAAATTCACTGGAACAATTACAACTTGGATTCAAATCTGACAGGTATGTTGCTAATATTGAAGATCCTGTTTCTTTTAATGTATATATATATTGGGCTATTCGGTGTTGATTATAATTAGTTTGGTCGTACATACTGGTACTAAAAAGGAATCTGATATTTTGAACGCTTAAGTAATCTGACAACAGTTTGAACTCATGCAGTAGTTACGTGTCGAATCGTACACCGGACAGTTATTATTTAGGAAATGAGCATTCGTATTTCAAGAAGACTTCCTGTCAAATGACATATTCATATTTGCACTGGATGATTGCTTTTTATTGTGCAGTACTTTTACTTTTCTTTCTTTCTTTCTTTTTTTTTTCTTTTCTTTTCTTTTCTTATTGTTAATTTTGCCTTTTTCCTTTTGTTTTTACATTTTTTTTATAAGGTTGGGGTGAGGTTTTTAATTTGATATGTTGGATTACGACCTTATTTGCATAAATCCTTGCATGCATTCATCAATACTCCGGAAATTTAAGAAACAGTTTAAATTTTACAAAAACAAATTGTTCTCTTTATTGCCAATGATGTTTTTAAAATATTTCAGATAATTCTGGTATAAGACTTTATTATACAAACAAGCTTAGGAAACATGAAGTTGGAAATGTGCAGATAGGACAGAACGATCTTGAACTCCCTGCTGGAAGTCACCATTTTCTGCAAAACGGAAGTTGTAGTGAGACCTGTACACAGCGCATGCTTCCTCATCCAATCTATCTGACAAAAACTTATATCCATATGCACAACTTAGGTATGCATAATCCATCACTGCGTTCTATTAATTTTTGATTGAACAAGTAATATGCTCATGTTTATAGGTGGAAAAAGTTGTCTTAAATTTAGGAGCTGTTTTCCAGGGGGCGAAACTTACTACAGTTCTGTTTGCTTCAAGCTTGTTCAAAGGAACATAATAAAGACGCTACCTCAATAAATATGAAGGATCATTTTGAGAGGCAGTGTTTAAAAAAAAACCACTGGGTTCAGAATGAATAAGGCTTTTGTGTTCCTTTTAAACGGCAAGAATCTAATTTGCCAATCTACTCAATGTATATATATACTACTCTCTGTCTGTCATACAAACGATATACGTTGTTTTGTAGTCCTTAATTTGCTTTACCGATACCGTATAACAGGAGCGGATTCAGGCGGAGGCGTGGTGGGCGTGCGTCCTCCCTAAAATTTGCAAAACAGGGGTTGTCCTCGGCTTAATAAAGAATATTTCGATAATTTTACCTAAAAAAAATTAAGTTAAACATGATTAACATCCAGAATATTTATTTCTCCCTATAAATTGTCTTGGAATGAGACGATACTTTCACTGTTTTTTTTCTCAAAATTATGCATCTGAATACAACCCAGTTCAATATCTGAGTCTCGATTACTCCTTAATTTATACTAATTTTATTCTTATTTGTAATCTGTTCGATTTTCTCGCTTGTCTTTTTATATTTTCCGTACAGGAGTTGAAGGCAAGTTTGAAATATATCGTAATGGACGACTGATCCGAGAAATAGCTCATGATACTGTATACAACTATCACAAGTCTCCATTGCACTTCCATGATCCGCCAGTTGAAGTACGACCAGGTATTTATGATCATAATAATATAACAACCTTGATTTCATATTTATAAAAGTAAATTTTATTCTACTATTTTATCATTATTCAACTTTAGGGGTGTTGTAAGGGGTGACCTTACAAAGAAGTAAAAATGCCGAGGGACAATCAAATGACGCTCGGTACCGATTGTTTATCTTTTTGTTCTTGTTGTTTGCAGGCGCGGATCCAGCCATTTTGAAAAGGTGTGTTCCAACCCCCGGAACACCATGAAACGTTCACTAAATTAAAAAAAAAACGAGAAAAGGGGGTTCCCCATGATCCGCCAATTGTTTATGGGGAGGGGTTAGAGACAAATAATGTTTTTTTCGACTTATAAGGCTTTTAAAAACTAACAACCTTTTTAAATAATGTTCAGGAACAAGAATTTTTGATTTTTTTTTTGGAAAGTCAATGTTGACCATTTGAATTATTCTTTTTTCCCAATTTTTTTAGTGGAAAAAAAAAATCCGTTTCTAATCTGAAAACAGTTTCTTTTCTTCAAGACATCTAGAATCAAACAATTAAAGAAAAAACACAAGTTAATACCACCAGTACAGAAGGGATCCCTGTCGACTTTATATGTCAGTTCTCGTTTTTTGTTTTAATGGAAACCAGCGGTATTACATTAGGGTCTGGATGACTTTTATAGAATACAGAAAATTGGGCCAAAAAATAAAGAATGGCAAATAATGGGATGCTGAAATAAAAAAAAAGTATAATCAGTGTACAAAATGAATAACCAAGACGCTCGTACATGGTGTACAAAAGTCAGGCATTTTGGTTCATGATTTTTTTAGAAAAATTCTAAGACTACCAAATTAAGATCGTGGAACAACTTGTTCCTCAAAAGTATACCTTTGTGAAATTAAATTTTTCATTTTTAACTAGGTGATGAAGTGAAACTATCCTGTTGGTTTACTTCCGGGGATAAGAATCATACGATATATTGGGGAGAAGGATCAGATGTAAGATTTGGTACCAGTAAACCACTGTTGTATAAAATGCTACTGAACAATGCATTTATAGGAATATGTGAAAAATTATAAGTCACAGTACGACCATCAACAATGAGCAAGTCGGCTATAAAAAGCACCGAATCAAATGTGAAACAATTAAAACAAGAAAAAACAATATTATTAGAGACCGTTGTGGATAGTAAACTAGGAATTGATAGTAAATAGTAAAAACATGTTATTTCTAGTATATTTATGTTTTTAATAATATATCTCAGAAAAACGCGAAAAAAAAGTTAAAATTGATTAATAGAACACAAAAAATAACGGATGTGGGGAAAAGTGGGATGGATAATAAAAAAGTCCTTTCCCCAAGTGCCTATGGTGCTTACATAAGTTATCATAAATTGTGTAAAATAAAATTGAGAATGGAAATGGGGAATATGTCAAAGAGACAACAACCCGACCAAAGAGCAGACAACAGCAGAAGGCCACCAAAGGGTCTTCAACGCAGCGAGAAAATCCCGCACCCGGAGGTGGTCCTCAGCTGGCCCCTAATTAAATTGTGTACTAGTTCAGTGAAAATGGACGTCACACTAAACTCCAAAACATATAAATGAACTAAAATTAAAAAAACATACAAGACTAACAAAGGCCAGAGGCTCCTGACTTGGGACAGGCGCAAAAATGCTGTAAAAAGCTGCCAACATTTTAAATTGTTCTTTTGTAGGCAGAAATGTGTTACGCATTTGTTTCATACTACCCAAACGTTAAAGGATTTGACCAATGTATACAGTTTGACGAATATGATGTTAACTGTCATATGGACGGAGGTTTGTAGCCGAGCGCAAACAATTATATTGCTTATTCTTGCTTGAAAGATCAGGTGAACGTTTTTAGACAATAATGTATTCCCTACAATAATTCTTTATACAGAAATTGAAGGATTTTTTTCAACAGATTCTGACTTTGCTGGGATTTTTCGATCATAAATGTATTTACACTGTTATATCTTGGTGATTGCCTTATTTTTGGTATTACATTCATGAACATTACAATTAGAAAAAAGAGAGAAAAACTGAAATTTCCCTTTTTATTTCTCTATTTATACTTTAGATCGTGCTTGAGGGTCTGGATGGGGTTGACAGAATAGAGAAAAATGGGCAAAATGGGCAAAATGTAGAATTAATGACAATAAAAAAATGAAATATAAAGAATAATGGGGGATGAAATAAAGAATAATGGTCTCAAAATTAAAAAGAAAATACAGAGATTAAGGCCCCCATCGAGAACCTCTTTTATCAATATATTTTCTTTCAAATAAGAGCTGTATATGGGAGGATGTACCATGGAAATGTTTGAAGCAGACCTACAGACAGACCTGATACAGGATATACAAAAGAAATGTAAAGCAGACAACACGTGCGTCACTTCCTGTTCAGCCGCACTACAGACTCTAACCGAACACCCCTGCTTTAACGTAAGAGTATACATGTATTTCAATAAACACCAACTCGCTTGATAAAAAAAAACGGCTAGAATATTCGTATTAAAAAAATATATTTGTATAAACTCTCAATATTTATCAAAAGGCACGATTCACAAGTTAACTGTCAGTTTTATATAGAATGCACAATAATCAAACCCTTCTGACACTTTTTGTCCCCTGCGCAACGCGTTGCAGGAGACATAGAAATACCGGGCGTCCGTCCGTCAGTCCGTTCGTGCGTCCGTCAGTCTGTTCGTGCGTCCGGTCTTATTAGCGCTCTCACGTGTACAGTTCTTGCCAGATTTTTTATGAAACTTATAGCATAGGTTTATATCAGCAATGTCTTCGACGAGTTTGAAAATCAGTGCCGATCAATTATTTTTAAAAGAGTTATGCCCCTTGGAAACATTAATTTGATGAAAAATTACATCGTTAGCGATCTCATATGTACAATTCTTGCCAGAATTCTATGAAACTTCTATCATAGGTTTATATCAGCAATGTCTTCGACGAGTTTGAAAATAAATGCCGATCAATTATTTTTTAAAGCGTTAGGCCCCTTGGAAACATTAATTATATGGAAAATTGCATGGTTAGCGCTCTCGATCATGTGTACAATTTTAAGAAACTTGTAGCATAGCTTTATATCAGCAATGTCTTGGGAGAGTTGGAAAATCAGTGCCGATCAATCATTTTTAAAAGACTGAGTTATGCCCCATGGAAATATTGATTATATAGAAAATTGCATTACTAGCACTCTATCTTATGTGTACAATCCTTGCCAGAATTTTATGAGCCTTGTATTATAGGTTTATATCAGCAATGTCATTGTTGAGTTCGAAAATCAGTGCCGATCAATTATTTTTAAAAGAGCTATGCCCTTGGAAATATTAATTATATGGAAAATTGCCTTATGAGAGCTCTGTGTACAATTCTTGCCAGATTTTTATGAAATATATATTATAGGTTTATATCATCAATATGTCTTTGACATTTTCGAAAATAAACGCTGATCAAATGTTTTTAACAAGTTATGCCCCTTGGAAATATTAATTATAACGAAATCGGATTGCATTTGCTCTGAAGCCTTCATTTCTCTAAGATATTTATAAATTGTTTTAAAGAACAAAAAATAAAACTATAAATAAACTCAGACAATATATGTTATATGTTCGCACGTTTCTGTTCCGATTTTTGTAAATGCATATTATCAATTTTTCTTACAAAAATTTTGGTTCGTAGCGAACAGAAACAGAATGTTTATCATAATGATAGTTCTTATATGATTTGCATTACTGGGGATCCTTCGATTGTGATTTATTTTTGCACTTCATTTTTCTGTAGACATATAAAACATGTATGTATTAATTATTTGTATTTGCAATAGACTTAGTTGAAAATCTAAATTAAAAGCGGTCCAATTATTTTTGCAATTTTCCTGGATTTATTTATAAACTATACAAACTTTACATAAAATATCAGATAAACTAAAAAAAAAAAAAACAACAACAAAATCATTACTTGTAAATCATTCCTGCTTATAGGGATTTTTAAAATTAGTACCTATAACAGATACCTGGTACCATTTTTGTTATTTTATATTCATGGAAATTTGTTGTGTAGAATAATTTGAACTACTTGCATGGGTCTTCATATGTACAGAATTCTAACATTCTATTTACAGGGACGATTTAAAGATTACTCGGTTAGGTTATTTCCCCCTAAAATCCCCGGATGGAATGAAGTTATGGACTTGGTAGACAGACACTCTAAATCATGCTCACAATAAACCAATCATATCTTCTGTTTATTGGTTTGTATTTATGCCTCGTGCCTTGTACCTTTTCTAATTCCCAATACATGAGCATAAACGGTCAAAACATTTTGACACAAAATCGTAAGTGTGTATCTATGAATGTCTTGTAGTCATCAATAAAACAGCAACCAAACAACACAACGAAAATATCATTGAGAATGTTAATGGATGCCTGATTAATTGTAAATAATTTTAAAGAAACTGCAAACGATTCCATGAAAAAGCTGTGAAGGAAAACAAATAATTTAACGATATAAAGAAAGAAGAAAAGAAAGAAGAATTCGTTTATTGCAATCAAGAGTTTGAGAAAGGATATTTGGGGAAAAACGTCTTGATATTCAAATTAACGTATTCTCGACAGTTTATTTGCACATAATGCCTAGAGAAGAAGTATCGTGTCAGTATTTCTCTGCATATACACATTCTTTAACAATTCTGAAATCACTTTTACTCGTAGCAAGGAGGTATATAGATTTTTCGCTGTGCAGTTCTAAATGTTTTGTATAGTTATATATATAATCAATTAAGCATCAACCCTTTCCCCATCTTTTCTCAAAGACAAGGTATGGCCGTTTCTTTTCGTTGTGTAATTTTAATGCCCATGATGACAATGCTTGACCGATGAATGACCACTTCACCTGTCTTACAATTGTCCTTGTTTTACTCCATGATTCTTCAGAAATTTGTTTCCTCGTCTGAAGTAAACAATATGACCTTCATTAAGATTAGCAGAATTAAAATCTTATTATTAAAAATGCTGATACACGTACAATGTTTGTGTTATAATCTAAAATTTCACGCGTGGTGCCACGTTTGATGTAGTCAGCAAATTACATGTTTTGCTAACTGTGTGATGCATTAAGCAATTTTAATTTTAAAAAAAAGTTTTTTTGTTATTTTTTGCTGACTGCACCCCCCTTATTTTCGTTTAAGCACGTCCTCTCCCTCCCCTTAATTAACATCAAGGGTGATGTGTCCACCACTGTGTTTTCCCGGCGAATAATTATCACAGGAATATTAACATGTCGTACGCACTGGATTCCATGGGTCCCAAGAAAGTGACAAATGACAAGCGGTGGCGAGGCTATATCGTCATTTATTGTTTTGTCGATTGTTTAATGACACATTAAAAATTAATTCCTGTTCGGAGGGACAGCTTTTTGTAAGATGTTCGATGTACTTCTGCTTTTTTCGTAAGAGAACATGAAATTGAAATCTCCAAATAATACACAAGACAGTGTATAGACTTAATTGACAATCTGCATGTCAATTATCTATTTGTTTATAAGTATGTGTTCATAGTGCAAAACGTCAAACAATCATTTTTACAGATTCATGTGAAACAGGTTGAATATAAAAATAAAGAGATGTGCATGTATGATCGCCAATGAGACAAATATTCACTGGAGCCAGGGGGACGAGGATGTAAGTAACTGTCGATAACTTTCGAGAATGAGCAAAACCCGTACTATATAAAAGATGGTCTGGATGGGGTTTACAGGATAGAAAGTCATGGGTAAAAATACAGAATAAATGGCTTAAAAATTAAAGAATAAAGAAACATAGGTAAAAATGATAATGAATAATGAGGTTCTAAAATATAATAAATAATTGGCAAATTATATAAAGAATAGAGAAAAATCTTCTAAGAAGTTAAAGAATAAAGAAATAAATGACCTCTTATCCAGACCCTCATGGTAAGCTATAACAAGTCCCGATATCACAAGAAGTTCAAAAGAGAAAAAGAGAAAAAGCAAAGGACTGATTTCTGCTAAAAACTAAAAAACCAAAAACAATTGTGGCAAACCAACGACAACCAATGAATTACAATCTCCTTACTTTGAACAGTAGAAAAACGAAAGATATGGGGTATCCATCCGTGACACAAAATTAGTAAATGCACAACAAAAAAACATACAAAAAGCAAAGAAACAGTGCTTTTATTGCTGTTCTTCATCTCAAAGTCACAGTGAGACATAAACACGGAGCAAAAAAAAACTCTCACCTCACTGCAAGTTTAAGACGGTCCCTAGCACCGGCACATAAAGCAGAGTTAAACATGTTTGTAAGCACAGGCTCAACCCACCTCTAAATTTGGACAGTGTTGCAACAGAAACATAAAAAAATCAGTTGGTATGGGCTTGATTCACCAGATCAGCACGAAGCACAGATGTGTAGGATTCTTGTAAGGACCTTGTAAGGACCGGTACATCGGATGTAGTTACGGTACAATACGAGACCTTTTTGATCACGTGATTTAGTTACGTTACAACATGAGGCCTCGTTGATCACGTGTACGCACTATATACTAGTCCTCATTTGCACCCAAGAATTTTCAAATATTGCTCAAATCTCAAACTATTATAGATCAGTCTGGATTTAACCTTAACATCTGTTAAAGGTCAGTAACTATATGCGGAATTTACTTTGAAGGACAGTTATTGACTGATCTAATTGACCAAAACAACAATGGTCATTTATGATCATTTATTATTTTTAACCTTGAAATGTGGCCTTTAATAAGATAATTAAATGACGTTTTGACGAATAAGTTGAAAGAATAACAATTGATGTGTAATAGAAGCATAGACGGTAATTAAAATTCGTGTTTGGAAACTACTCGGTCTGATACAGCCGGCATTAGTGCCAGAATTATTATGTCTGTATTCTTCTGTGGAATTTTCCAACTTACATTGAAATAATGATTTTTAGTAAAATTGTATTACATGTACAATAAAGCTAGAAACGTCGAAACGACACAATTAATAAACCTGCAAATGGAAATAACACTTTAATAATTTCATGCATCCTAATTAGATATAAGAAGATGTGGTATGAGTGCAATTTGTAAAAGTAAACCATTATAGGTCAAAGTACGGCCTTCAACACGGAGCCTTAAGTCACACCGAACAGCAAGCTATAAAGGGCCCCAAAAATGACTAGTGTTAAACCATTCAAACAGAATCTATATAAAAAACTAGAAACGAGAAGCACTTTTATGGATTTACCTCCACCAGAAACGCTCAAGCCTACACATAGGAAAGCAAGGCATATGTTAATACGTAGAAGCGTTGCATGGGAGCTACATGTATATATGATCAGTTTGGGCCTAAATAGAATAGCTAAATTCACCTAAGGTCAAATTTTGCCTGTGGGAGTTCGAACTTGAGTTTCCTTAAAAAAATTATCAACGGAGAATTTTAGGACGGTATCTACCTGCAGTAGTGCTAGATAAAGAAAATAACACTAGAAATTTGGTGCGTCCTAGAAGTGCTTTTCTGCAACTTAACTTAGACACAGATTATACGTCCTTTGTAGGGAAGAATCGTTTTTTTTCTAAATACTTTCAACCTTTTTAAATATTTATTTCAGACATGAGGTGAAATAAGTAGATGCTACACTTAATATTGAGAGAAAATGATCAATTCATAAATTTGATGCGTAAACGTCAACCCCAACAATGTCGATGCAAATGTATATATACTGAATACGTTAGCTTCTTACCAAAAAGGTCTTGAAAATAATAGGCAAATCCATCGAAGGTCCTTGTGAATGTACTTTAAGGTTCGAAAATTGTATCATATTGTTTTTAAGGCGTGGGAACGCCATTTTAGAAATCCTTTAAAGTTATGAAAACTGAGTTTTAATAATTTTTTGGCATATATATTGAGCATTTCTTCTTCTTCAAATGGGCCGCTTCAAATAATGAAAAAGAAGCATTGTTTAGCGCTAAATAACATGTAGATTTTAGTTTTATAAAAGTGGTTAAAAAAAGTTTACCGGTATATCTAATTCAGACTCTTTCATCTTAGTATTCATCAACTTGGTGGAAATCTAATAATGTTTAGAGCAATAACAGATTAAAGGCTATGTCGGGACTCTTTTTACAAAAAATCTTACGACAAAAACTAATCGTGACCTATACTGTAATGTTCATGACTTAAGAGTATTTTTTTCTCGCAATTTTTTTTTTTAAATTGATTGCAGAAACATAATTTTAAGGGTCCTGGATAGGGTTTTTAGAATTGAGAATAATCGGCAGAATAACTAACAACAAAAAAAGAATAGAGAAAAATAGGGGGAAATCAAGAGCAGAGAAAATAGGGATTTAATATATAAAGAATAGAAGAAAATGGTCTGAAAATGGTCTGAAAATTTAAAGAATCTGAAAGAAATGAAGGACCTCCAATCCAGCCCCTCAAACATTTGTCGTGCGTACTAAAATCTGCACGTATCTTTTGGTTGTTGACCTATATAGAAAATATATGCATATATGTAGTATCTGGATGTGATTTAAAACATAATACAGATATAGACTTAAAGATATGTTTTGGCGGCAATTTATCTATTATTAGGTGGAGAGTATCTACAAAACTGTCAATGTATGACACTTCAATTTGACCCTTATTAACTAAAGAATTCAATTATGCTCTTATATTCGATAACAGATGCGGATACTATCTATTTGTTTCGATTTTCCGGAACAAAAAGAGTTATTCGGAAGGATTGTAAGCGGCATTAAAGTGTTCGATTCCGTAACATTTCATCGATCCTTTAATTGATTTGTGGTTTAGTATTTCCACATTTGAAGACAGACGATTGGATAGTAGAAAAGTGGGAACGAGGAAGACTTGTTGGTCTTGATGGGGTTTACAGAGAAGAGAATAAAGAGCAAAATAGAGAACAGAATAGAGAAAAATAGGCTTAAAAATGATGTGTAGAGATGAAAGGGTGATGATATATGTTTATAAAGAATAGAGAATAAGGGTCAAATTTAACAAAGAATAGAGAATAAGGATAAAAATAAATAAAGAATAGAGAAAAAGGGTCAAATTTAACAAAGAATAGAGAATACGGATAAAAATAAATAAAGAATAGAGAATAAGGGTCAAATTTAACAAAGAATAGAGAATAAGGATAAAAATAAATAAGAATAGAGAAAAAGGGTCTAAAAGTTTAAAGGATAAAGAAAT